AAATATCAGACTCAGATTTAGCGGAAAATTGTTCTCCCTGCAGAAAAACAACTATTGACAATCACTGTCATAACATTCTTGTAGTCAATTGCAGGTGTAGTTTGTGTCCTTGACTGTTTCAAGCCCTTCAAAAGAGATCAGAGTAAAACTATTCATCACAATGTGTGTCTGGGGCTTCTTTGTACCTGATTAGGGTAGAGTTGGGCTATTTTAAATGTCCCATTTGCTGCTTCCCTGAAAAATATCGCATATGTATTAATGTTACTCTTCACATCTTAGACTCATCTCCCAGAGCTTGAAACTGCAGAATCCATCAGAACGATAGCTTTTATTTCTTGGCTGCGAGAACAGAGACCTTTCTTTCCTATACTATATGTAATAAAGTAAGTGTTTTTAAGAATCTTTGGGACCTTTTACTATACACAGTTGGGTATTGTGTACTGCACTTAATGCAAGTTCTGTCAGTGTTAAATGCTGTGCTTAACAGCCTTGACAGTAGGTATGACTTGGTATGAGTTGTCCTTGACTTAGAATTTCTGCAGATTAAGAAAGACAAAATGTCATAGACAAATCTTGAGTTTTTCAGATGAACAAAGTGAATTCTGAGAAGTGTTTTCATTGGGGTTATTCACAAGGGCTACTTGAGATCTTTCATACTTTCATATGTTCTTGAGCTCTGGAAATATCTTGCACTTGATCTGTAACATTCTGAATGTGTTGCACTGAAGATTTTGGTGAATATTTACTTAAACACTTATTTTTATTTTGAAGGGATGACAGCCCACTGAAATCAAGTTTTCTGCAGAATATGATTGAAGACAGAACTGAATCAGCCTTATCGTATTATGAGTTCCTCCTCCACATACAGCAGCAAGTAAATAAATGAAACACTAGCCTTTGGCTCACTTAAAGGAAAGATTTTTTGCAGTAAAGGACACTTGTGCTTGTAATATCTTCATAAAATCTGTGGCCTGAGGCAGTCGATGAGAGGTTCTCACTGTGATTTCAACGAACTAAAGCAAATAAAGGACCACATCTGAGAATCAAATGTGCAACTGCATATTGTACCTTAAAAATCAAACTATTGGAACTGGTTGAGCACCTTTAATTTGCTGCAAATCATGTTTTTACTATAAGTAGTTGCAGCATGAAGTACATCCACAAAGGCAATACTGAAAAGGTGAAAGACATTTTGTAAAATAAAGAGTTCTTTGTTGTTCAAAATGTATATTTCTGTAACTCTCTGCTTTTTTTTTTGCTGCTAGATATAAAACCTCTTAAAACTGATCATGATTTGCAGGGAAATTCTCTAAGTGCATCCAGTGATCACAGACAGAGCGTCTCCGTGTTCAGCTTAGAAATGCTTAAAGTAGCAATGAAGCAACTGTTCATTGTGAAACGAACAAAAATACTTCATTAAACTTAGAATCCAGTGTTTGGAATGGATTATGGCTAATAGGACTCAAGGTAAGCTTAACCTAGACAAGATGGCTTAATTTATGAAAGCTTTTTAGTAAGTCAGTATTAAAATTTAAAACAGCTGTGGAGGAGCAAGCCCTCCTCATATGAGATGCATTAAAGTCACTGAGTGAGCAGCAAAAGTAGATTTACGTAGCTTTGTTTTTTCTTTAGTAAAATGAATAGTTTTACTTCCAGTTATTGAATGGTGTGGGAGTGGAAGGTCAAGTAAGGTTATCTCTGACTTTTTATTTAATATACTTTGTGCTCCTGTTTACATTAACTGAATGTTAGGCCCCTAAAACTTAGTGTGCTTCTGAAATGTATGATGGCACTTAAAACACAATGTTTTGAGACCATATTCGACATTCTGACACTAAAATTGGAAAATTTTTTTCCAAAGACAAAAGCATTGTATTTTAAGATCTGCTTATGGCTCGAGACACACTTGAAGTTTCCAAAATTTCTTCACTGCAGCTGCTTAATGAGCCTAGATCCAAAGCCAGCATGCACCAAATGAAAGCTTTAAATGTACTCTCAGATCCCTGCCAGAGCTGCAGGTGGAAGCTGACATTGGACTTTAAGTGAAAATTTATATACAAAAAAAATCATTTTATAAAAGCATATTCTTTTGGCTATCTCTGATAGCAACAAAGAGTATTTACGTTACTGTATCTGTACATCTGTGATGTAAAGAGAGGGATGTGACAAATGGAAGACATTATGGAAAAATCTTTTAGTCAAATGATATACAGAAAGATCTTGCAAAATCTTTCTGGGGCAAGTAATGTGAACAGGTAAAATATTTATAAATAAGAGGTCAAGCATGTACTGTGACTGGTCTAGTTAGCTTACACCTTGTGATACAAATGTGAGAGGACATCATAGGTTAATCATTTGCTACCATTGCAGGCTGTAGCTACACTTGATTGTCAGGAGTTGCCTTACTTCAGGGGAAGAGTTTCTTTGGAGAAATTGTCTTTTTGCTTGAGCACGAGAAGGTGAAGTTCAGAACAATGTCTGAAATTGAATGAAAAGACTATAATAGAACCTATTTAAGTCTCCCTGTCTGCTGTCTCTGGCAAACAGGAGTGTATTTACTTGAACAGCTTTTTAGAAAATTGCACAGTTTCTAGACAGAATCATCAGGTTTTTTAAGTTTGGACAGTTGGATATTATTTTCACAGAGAAAGAAGTCTCTTAATTTAAATGGAAGCTATGCACTTGCATAGGTTATCACTTAAAACTTGTATTTTGGATATATTATCACTCAGAATGATGAAAATTGTCATTGCATCTAACAGCCCACCCCAAATCTGCTTCTTATGATGACTGTATTTTAGCCCCTCTTTTTTTAATAAATGTTGGAGATTACTTCACTGTTCTATATATCAGACTAACAGCTAAGGATGTCAGTCTGTGGCAATTAACTTTTAGGGTCCCTAAGTTTTACAAGACAAAATGTATAATCAAGGCTCTGATGAACCCTCTTGGAGCAGAACATGTCTTTTTCACCTTGGATTTTCACCTTGGAAGAAATTCTGTATTGAACTTTGTAAGTTTATTCCCTCGCAGTGGGAAAAGCCTGCTATGCTGTAAGGTCGACAGAGGACAGGTGAATGCAGCTACCCATGATGTGTCACTTCTACCTACCATTGAAAAATGAGGACACTGAACTAACTGTAAAAACAGGCAAGAGTGGCTCTGGTTCTTAGATCTCATCACAACTCTACCACTGCAAATGTACTCTATTTTTCTAGTTGAGGAATTTTTTTAAACTTATTTCTGTATGTGACACATTAGTGTTCAGCCAATGTTGTTACCATCCACTTTACTTTGCTTTCATTATTGTTTTTAATTTAATATATTTGAGTCTAAGTCCACATAGATTGTTTTGCAATAACTAGAATGATTCACTTTTATTTAGATTTAATTTCTTAACAGTATTTAATAAAAGATGCAAAATGGCTGTTAAATAAGGGACCATTAAATGTGATTTTTAAGCTTCTGTTTACTATTATGGATGTCATCCTTATAGTAAATTTAATTTTGTAAAGTAGTGTATAATATTGTATTATTGAATCTTTCCTTTCTGAACTTGGACATTTGATCTTCAGTATGAAATAAATCTTCCCCCTTCTGAATTTGAGACAGGATTTTCTTGTCCTCCTTTTTACAGTTTGTAATTTTCACTCTTTTATTCCTGTAAAAAGTCATTTGTAACACATGCAAATGCTTATTTTATCTGTGCTAATTTATCAGATTTGGCTACTCAATAAAATTAATTGGAAGAACTCATGCAAGTCCGTCAGTCCTTTCTTATCAGTGAAAGTATGGTACTGTATTTGATCAATCAAGATAAATAGCATGTAGTAGCAAGTGATAAATTCTACCTTCAGCTAAAACTTTCCTATTAGTGATTCAGAAGGAGAGGGCACTCTGAGGAAAGCCAGTTCCAGTTGACTTGGAATTTGCCAGTAGCATTTTTTTGTCCCTTGTCATTCAGCATTACTATTTACCCTACCCTGGGGTTTGTTACTCTCATAAGCCCACGTTGGTGCTGCACTCCACCGTATAGAACCCTGCTGTCCAACAGGGAATTGGTCTTAAGCCAGTGACACTGATGGGTGGAATTCAGCCTGCCTTCAGGACTGTGATTAATTTTTCTGTAGGTAATCCCACATCTTCATATAACATTCTATTCTTTCATTGCTTTATTGTAGAAGGCATTCCATCTTATGCTTGTCAGTTTTTTTTTCCACAAGCTCTCATTGCTGCTTCTGGTTCATTGTGTGTAAGTCAGTGTGTGAGCCTGGTGCTTTGCACTCTGCATGTAACAGCCCTCGCTTACAGAATCCTATTACTCTCTAAATCTCTGATCTTAAAAACATTACCGATTGGACCCGTCAGCACTAAGCTTTGTCTCTGTGAAGGTTTGCTGCTTCGTTCAGCGCTCCAGCTGCACAGCCCTCCCAATGCCGGCCTGGGGAAGGGCCCAGCCCTGTCCTGGCACCGCGCTCTGACTGATGGAGCGTAAGTCCTGCACAGCTGAGGGCGGTGAAGGAAACCAGTTGAGCTGATGAGAGAATCCGTGCCGCTGCCGCCTTTGGTTTGGCTCTCGGCTCCTTCCACAACGCGGCGTGTCACCCAGCGGAGCACCCAGCTGAAGGAAGGCGCTGTCACCCGGTTCTACCACTTCTTGTCACGCAGACAGAAGTGAGAGGTGCTTCTGTACCTCAAGCGGCCGTGCGGGAAGTGAAACGCGGCCGAGGTTTGCGGGAGCTGCTCTGTCAGAGCTGCCTGCACTTTAACGGCGTTCTGCTTCCTGTTCCTGCACGGAGGTAAGTACTTCCTCGGATGGAAACGTTCCTCTCGCAGTTTGTATGCACTGTGGTGTCTTTATCTCTTTTTACCATAAGAAAGGCGTTACCCTCGCGTCCGAGGCTCGCCCCGTTATCCCGGCGCGCCGCCCTCAGCGCGGGGCCCCGCCACCCTCCCCGCCCTAATAGGGGATCGGGCCACCTCGTTTCCTGTCGCCCTGTGACGTCACTTCCGGTTACGGGGCGGCCATCTTAGTTGAGGGCACAGCTCTCGGCGCGGCCCCGTCAAAGAGAGCCTGGCGGCGGGCTCTCCCCGTTCTTTTTGCCCTTACGTGAGGTGGCGGCGCGGGCTTCGGGCCCTGGAAGTGGGCGGTGATGGCGCCTGCGCGTTGAGGCGGCGCAGCCCCTTTTTGTGCGGCGGCGCGGCCTCTTTCTGCCGGGGATGGAGGACGGCGGCGGGGCGGGAGCGGCGTCCCCCGGGAACCCCGCGGGGCTCTCGGCCTCCCAGCGGCGGGCGGAGCTGCGGCGGAGGAAACTGCTGATGAACTCGGAGGAGCGGATCAACCGCATCATGGGCTTCCACCGGCCCGCGGCGGGCAAGGGTGAGCCGTGCGGGGATCCCGGCCCTGCCCCTTCCCGGCCCCTTTCCCAGTGCGAGCAGCGGATCGCCCAGCGGGTTTCTTACAGCGGGGCGGGAGCCGCCCGTGCCCTCAGGGGTTCCCTGCACGTTCGTAGCTGGGCGCTTGCCTTCCCCGGGCTGTCCGGACATCGGCGCTGACCCGCGGTCCGGTAGGGCTGAAACGCTGTTCTGAGCGCTGCGTGTAACCGCGCGTTTTTGTTTCTCTTCTTTAGATGACGAAAGTCACGTAGAATCAAAACTTCAACACGAACAAGAGAAATCCAATTCCCTTCCTCTTCCTTCTGTTTCTAAGAGAATCGTGCTCGGTGATTCTGTCTCTAACGTGTCCGGATCAGCTGAGCACGCGGGCAGCCTGGGAGACCTCAAAGGGGATAAGGACTTGTTCAGTAAAACTCCACAGCTTGTCAGTGAGGGTACAGGCGAGCTCCGTCACCGTAACAGAGGGGAGCTGCCGTCCGAAGCCACCGCACGGCCAGCCAGGCATGGATTAGAGCAATACTTATCCAGATTTGATGAAGCTCTGAAGCTGAGGAACCAGCTGATGAATGAGAAGCCAAGCCAAGAGAACGGGAATGCGGTGGAGGAGTTTGATTCTTTCCGCATTTTTAGATTAGTGGGATGTGCTCTGCTTGCCATTGCAGTGAGGGCGTTTGTGTGCAAATACTTGGTGAGTCCAGGAAAGCAAACAATCCTGTTCTGTTTGGCTAGTTAACTGCAGGCTTAGGGCTCAGCTCATGTAAAACACCGTTTGTCTGGGGTTGAAAGCTGTTTATGTAGGGCTAAGTGGGTTGGGAACTTCAGGCATTCTTTACGTTGCTGACAACTGTGTAGAAGCTCAAAAAAAAAACCACCAAACAACCACTCTAGCATTCCTTGAGATGGTAACTACATCAGAATGTGTGTTATCTAGCAGAGCCACTAAGTTACAGCTGAGAGTTGCGTGCTTTTGGTCCTTAATGTTTTGAGGAGAAGCAACACTGGAATAATTATTACTGCTTAAGTCCTATGCAAGTTTGAGTCAACTGTTATTCTTTACGAAAGAATAACGGAGTAAAAACTGCAACATCTGTACTGTGATATACAGATCCTACTCATTTATCAACCTTTTAAGAAAAATAGTTCCTCAGTAGTGCAGGTGTCTGTGGGCACATCTTACAGAAGTGCACAACTGGTACAGCCTGCCACCTTCTGGAGCACTCAGCTTGTTTTACACACTGCACTGTCATGCAATTTCAGGTATAAGACTGAAAGCAAGCAAGGTAGAACAGTTCTTCTGACACCTAACTTGCCTGCTTACATTTGTAGTATTCAACAATACTGTTGATAATTAAATTTCTGTTTTCTTACTTATTGTTTCTGAATGTTAATATATTCTTTTCTGTTCCATCAGTCAATATTTGCACCGTTTCTTACTCTACAACTTGCTTACATGGGACTATCCAAGTACTTTCCAAAGGTAAAACAATTTTTCACAATTAGATTAATTTCAAATGTTTTAAGCCTGTGCTTAGATTGCATCGTTGCATGGGGAGTATTCATGTTTTGAGCTGTAGAATTGAGAATTATGAAATGCTTATAGCTATTGCTAGCTGTTAGTATTCCCAGATTTAGTCCAAATCTTTTTAAAAGTTGCTGTGAAAATGAGGGCTAGCAGCTTATTTAGCTATAAGCTAATCAAAAGCATCTGACTGGGAAACTCCAGTTTATCTTTCATGTCTTTAGGATGCTTGCTTTTCTTTTAGGTTGTGCTCTTCTGTGGTTACTGTTAGCTCTATCAATAGCCACTGGGCATATGTGATTCCTGGGCAAAATTTGTGGGGGTGATCATTAAGGAATGAGGTGGTGTTTGGGCTTTAAGGGCTCTGTGTTCCATTCGTGGCTTTAGTTTGAATGACAACTAGAAATGAGACATTTGTGCATGAAGCTTTGTGCTTATCTTTAATCCAGAACTCCACTTTACAGCTTGATTGGATTGCCACTCTGAAGTGGGCATAACATCTGTGATGCAGTTTTTCTGTTGTTAACTAGCTTCTCATTCAGCTCCTCAGATCCTCCACAGCTTGAATTTGTAGCTAGGATAGTAAGGTATTGTGAATCCTGGAGCGAATCCTGTCTGGAGAGAATCAGTGCAAACATGCTATTCTTATCAGCGAATCTGGAAGTCCCTGGGTGTGTGAAACTGGGATGTTAAGCAGAACTGGACTGTGGCAGAACTAACATACCGTTGTTTTTCCTTCTAGAGTGAGAAGAAGGTGAAAACGACAGTACTAACTGCTGCTCTTTTACTGTCTGGAATCCCTGCAGAAGTGATCAGTCGCTCTATGGACACCTACAGCAAAATGGGAGATGTTTTCACAGACCTCTGTGTCTATTTCTTTACATTTATCTTTTGCCATGAACTTACTCTGTTCTTCGGCTCTGAAGTACCATGATGGCTGTAGAGTTCCATGCAGTACTTACACTAAAGCTTTCTGGTCTGTATGCCTTTAACATCTGACAGGTTGAAACCTTAGTTAAAATTCTTTCCTGTTTTTGAATGCTTGAAAGGAGCCTTAAATCCAGTCATCTGGGAGAAGGAACAGCAAGATCCCAGGCTGCCAGTTGTATTAGTTTGGTTTATTTAAATACTGCGTCTGCCCACTAAAAATGTGAAGAATAGAATGCAAGTGTTCCTGGATGATTTGTTTAGTAAGGTGATGTCCTTCTCACCTCCTTCATAAAAATTTACAAAGCTACCTTTATTCCTTCTGGTGAGAGCAAAGAGAATTCCTTTCAGCAGAACCAAATATATATACATATAGTACAAATATAGCTAATATAGCTCAGTTTGTGTTGCTCCTGTTTTTAAAGAAAGCTCTAAATGAAAGAAATCCCTGTATTTTGTTGTTCCAGTTCAGATTGTCAAACTAAGTAGCTGCTTTTGGAGAATGTTGGCAAAACATGCCACTGTTGTCCTAAACCTTGCCTTACATACATTATGTGATTGTGGTTAATTTAATTTGACAATTATAGGGCAAAACAGCCAAGCAAAAAAAAAAAAAAGGCAAAAAAAAAAAAATCACCCAACCTCCTTTTGTTTACAAGTGTCATTAATCAAAAAGTGGGAAGAAAAAGAATTGTTAAAATTGTGAATCTTGTCTGTTTGTGAGTTCTCAGCAGCCTATTGCTGGTATAGCTTACTGTGCTTTTTCCTAAACAAATGAACAAAAAATACCAACTCACTTCAGAAGGGGAAAGTTGTACAGACCAGCCACCAAGCTGCAATGTCAAACGTTTATTTGTCTGTTAGGTGTAAAAATAGGTTTTTGCTGGACTGCTTAAGGCAGTTTTCTTCCTACATGACCTTCATTATCTTGACACGTTCATGATCAACCAATTGCATGTAAACAGAACTATGATTGCCTAGTTCTGCTACTGCTGTATGACAGTACTACACCCAGTAGTATAAATAGGGTCTTTGATTCAGCAGATCTGTGGATGTTAACTGAGTTGCCAACCGTTCCCTGAAGTGCTTTTGAAATTGCCCCAGTGAAATCCTATTAGCTGTTCCTGTTTTAAATCCCACGCGTTACATGTGAGAGTAAAATAAGAAATGAACTGCTGTTTTTAATTGACTGCCACATAAAGATCCGTGTATAAAGAGAGAAAGCATATTTTTCCTATGGAAGTCCAGCCAGAAAGCTGAAAAGACAACCGATACAAGTGAGTCCTGGCTGAAGTAGCAGGCTAATGAATGTTTGTTTTTCCATTATAAGAAATTTGGTGAGAGGAGGGAGGTGTCATTCCAAATAGTCAGCCTTACATGCTGGTGATCTGTGAAAATTTATGTTGATGGTAAACTTGGTATGATTTTGCTTTGTAGTTTTATGATTAGAATTTAGGCACTGAGATAACAGCTAATGCACTTTTTTAGTTTAGAGAAACACGTAGCTACCTTGTTGTTTGCAGAGCTTTTTTAGGGAGCCAAAGTGGTTGGTTATCCTTATTTAACACGCGTTGCCCTGCTTTCTGTGTAGTCTTTCCTGTTAAAGATTCCTGCTAAAATTTCAGCACTGGATTTCAGACTCTTGTGTTAGATATGTTTGTGGCATGACAGCTTGTGTATTGCTTTGACAATTATTTTTTTTACTGATTATTTTCCAGTGAATGTTTTATTTCAGGTGTCCAAGGCTGGGCTGGAAAAGGTTCTGACTTAGGCCTCTTAGCACAGGTATAAATGAAGCTTCTGAAGCGGACAGGAATTTCACCAAACTGAAATAGCTGACTCAAAAAATAAAATGTTACATTGAGTTTGTTTGAGAGTTACCATTGTTCTCACCCACTGTATGCCCAAGTGTAATACAACTAAGTGGCAACAATACCATCTGAAAAAAGGCAGTGAGCTTTTAATCTTGAGCAAAATATTAATATCCACCTGGCTGTAGGTTCAGTCAACCCCTTCTGCAGCCCTTCTGTACGAAGGAAGATGGTGCAGGTTATTTTGTCTGAAGGGAAACGTGCCAGGAGAGCCCACGTGGGGCTTTTCAGCCTTGCAGCTTTTCAGGTGTGTGCTGTTGCCTGGTGGGCTTCCAGGTGGGACTGGGACCTGGACTTCTTACCTGCGAGGGATGGGAAAGGGCTGGCTGGGGCTTCTGCTGAGTGACTGCTCATCTGAGGCCAAGAAATGAATCTCCTTCATTCCGTTTTAACTTATCTTTGTTTATCTCTGTTGTTTAATGTATATTGCTGAACCGATTGTTTTCTATTAAAAGTACATTTGTTACCCCCTTCCTTTGTGCCCAGACGTCGTCTGTCAGCCCAGCAAGTGGCGGTTTGTTAAATAACTTCAGGAGCGTTGGCTGTGGGAGGAGATCCCGGGTGTTTTGGTGGCAGGGCTGAGCCCTGGCCTCGCTGTAACTCTTCTTTTGGTGTCGCATCGCACAATGTGAGCTTGGCGCTCCGCCGCACCGCGCAGGGCGCTTAGCGGGGATCGGGAGCAGGAAGCGATGCTGCGGCTGGCAGCCCGCCTGCCGACCTGCGGCTCTGCGATTACTTTATCCCATCTCTCGAGGCACCCGGCGGACCCAGCCTCGCGCAGGAACACTTCGCTTTTGTTTTTTTTTTTTTTTTTTTTTCCCTTCTTTTTGTTTTTTCCCCGTTTTCTCGCGTTCTGCCCGCTCAGGCGGCTCTGCGCCCTCCGGCCTGCAGGGGGCGCTGCCGCACCGCCGCGGACAGGAAGTGCCGCGGGCCGCTTCCCGCCGCGCTGCCGCCTCGCCTCGTCGTTCCGGGTGCTGGGGCTCCGGATGGCCGCCGCCTCGTAGCGCGGAGCTCGCACCGCCGTCGCCGCCATGGGCCGGGAGTCCAGGTGAGGGCGGCGGAGTCGCGGCCGGGCTCACGGACGGCCAGATCCGCTCCGGATCCCGCGGGTGCTTCGAGTAGCGGCCCGCTGGCTGCGTGTGGGAACAAAGGGCCGCGGCGGCCTGCGGGCGCGCTGAGGGCGCTGCGTGGGTCCTCCCGCCGCCCGCCGCGGCCCTCCGTCGTTCCGAGCGGCTGGGGGCCGGGCTCGGGCTTTGCGGGCTTGTGGGCGGCTTGGGGCTCGGGGCACTCCGGGTTTCCCTGCCTGGGGCGCTCCCCTGACTCGCTTGTCTCAGCCTGGTTCCAGGGCTGTTTGCCCGGCGCGGGGCTCCCGGGAGCGGCGGTCCGTAGCGGTGCTCTGTGCCGCTGCTGGGCTCAGACAGCGGGTCTGGGCCTCTCCGGGCTCATATGGCCTCCTCGGGTTTGTGTGATGTAATAACTACGGTATCATCAGCCTGCTACGCTTTTTAAGTTCTTGTTTCCTGTTGATAAGGCGTTTATGGAATGTATCTCTTTAAGTTTCTGCATCATCGTGTTGCTTTTGTCCTCTCACGGCTGATACAAACACCGTATTCGGTGTTTTAACTAATTCAGCAGTAAGGTGGTCGTACGCTCCTTGTGTGCGTCGGTCACTGCTGCCAGGAGCTGTGGAGCTGCTCACAGCTGTTAGGCTTTAAACCAGCTCTGCTGCGTGCTGATGCTGTTGTTGCATCTGTACTGATTAGTTTAATCTATTATCAGATTTTAACGCTGAAACAGTGTTAACACGCAGCCTGCTAACAGTCTGCTGGCAGCTCAGCTCCAGGTGCTGGCTCTGGATCTCTCAGGACTGCTTTACTTACCCCAGTGCAGCTTCCGTTCTGATAATGTGTTTGGTTTAATTTGGGTTTCGGGGTTGTTCCGAACAGGGAAGTTGGCAGAAAGCATGCACAGAATGTGTTTGTCAAACCAGACCATGGGTCTCTTCTTGTATAAGGAGCCCTTGCCTGTCCCACTTGTGTCCCTTGCTCTCTCAGAAGCCCCATCCCTTCTGCAAGTCTTTCTGTTTGTGGCAGCTGTGTGGTGAACTGGGTTGTACAAATTAAAAAAAAAAAAAAAAAAGTAAAATGGGGTTTTAAACTCAATTGTTCAATGTAGTTTTAAGTGAGAGGGAGAGGTGGGTGGAGAAGGGCAGGGTAGGTGTTGGACTTGCTGTAGGGAAATTCTCATCAGACTGAAATGAGATGCCCAGATTTGTTGCACATTGTAGAGAAAAATGCAAAAAGAAATCTTTGGGGGAGATGGGGAGCAGTTCTTATGGCATTTTGTGGCTGAGATTGGAAGAAAGAAAAGATATCTGACAGTGACAGATGTTCTCCATGTTCAGTCATGCTGCTGGTAGGCAGGATATGGATGTCACACTGCTACTGCACTGATTCCAAATGTACACAATATCTAAATATACCAACATGCTGAAAACTCTATTATGTTTAGCACCAGTACTGTTGTCATACAACTCTGTTGGCAATGACAAAAGGGAAAGGACATGGGGGATTTGAGGTCCTGCCTTCTCTGCTTCTTCCCACTTCCCAAACCTAGCTCTTGGGGAGTGTGGAGCGTTGGCAAGCGCTGGGCTGTGGGAGGATGGATCAAGGGAATTATTCTGATGCTGTGACTGATAGGAACTGGAAAAAGAGGAGACAGTGCACTGGATGTCCCTCTGTAAAGTGTATGCTTATGTGAAGAGTTCTGGGAGAAAGTACTGCTGTCTCCTACAGTTCGATTGGGATAAGAGAGAATTAGTGAAGGGAGAAAATCTCCCATCTCCATCATACACCTTAAAATTTCTTTTCTTTGTTTGATTTCAGCATCTTAAAGGCATTGACCACTGCGGCGTCACGTGCTCACACTTTTTTTCTTTAATTGCATTTTGACAGCCTTTCCTCTGAGCAGAGGTTCAGGTTATGTAGCCTATCTGAATAAAAGTTATATAGAGATCAGCAGCAACAACAGATGTTCAGCAGATTTTATGAGATAGCTTCTAAGAGACTTAGTCTTTCCCAGTGCATAATAGAAATTAGGGAATGTCTGAACAGGACATTGTTTTTGATGTTCCAGTGTTCTTGTGATATGCTTATATAAGCATACTAAAACAAATGTATGTCTCAGTCATCCCTCTGATTTCAGCATCCTAAGGGATGTGTGTATACTAATTGATTTTGCAAAATTACTGCAAATGTTTAGGAATTTTATAGGTACCACAAATTACAATAAATAATTCACGCAGATACAACAAACCTCCCTTCACACTGCAAACTATCCTCTCACCTTTATTCTGTGACCTTACAACAGGCATTATCGGAAGCGCTCTGCGTCGCGGGGACGCTCTGGGAGCCGCTCTAGAAGTCGTTCTCCATCTGACAAAAGAAAACGTGAGGACAGGCGCTCCAGGAGCAGAGATCGGGATCGCAGACGGGAGCGGTCGCGCAGCAGGGACAAGAGGAGATCTCGTTCACGTGACAGGAAGCGCCAGAGGTATGAGCTCCAAAGCATGGGAGAATGCTTGTTATCCAGTAATGATATTCTTCCTCTGCAGCTGCTTACTTTGATGTTGTTCGTAATAGATTTTACTGTGCTTAGTATTTTTGCTTATTAAATGATGTTTTGGTGCTGGTATTTGTAAGCTCTTAGCGATCTTGATGATTATTGAATTCCTTTTAAACCTGTTCCTTAGTAGCAGGCTAAAATGATGCTGTCGTCACATGCTAAGTAAGTGCACTTTTGTTCTGGGGCAGACGTTCAAGGAGTAGAGAAAGGGAACGGAGTCGGGAGAGAAGAAGATCGCGGAGCCGAGAGAGAAGGCGCTCCAGGAGCAGAAGTAGAGGCAGACGGTCTCGATCCCCCAGTCCGAGCAAGAACAGGAAGACAGAAAACAGGTATTTGTGTACATAGAATCATAGAATCACCAAGGTTGGAAAAGACCCACAGGATCACCCAGCCCAACCATCCACTGATCACCAATAGCTCTCACTATACCACGTCCCTCAACACAAAATCCAAGCATTCCTTGAACGCCTCCAGGGTCGGTGACTCCACCACCTCCCTGCGCAGCCCATTGCAGTGACTGACCACTCACTCAGAAAAGCAGTATTTCCTAACGTCCAGCCTGAATCTCCCCTGGTGCAGCTTGAAGCCATTCCCTCTAGTCCTATCACTGTTACACGAGAGAAGAGGCCAGCCCCCATCTCACTACAACCTCCCTTCAGGTAGTTATAGAGAGCAGTAAGGTCTCCCCTGAGCCTCCTCCAGACCGAACAATCCCAGCTCCTTCAGCCTCTCCCCATGAGGCCTGTGCTCCAGACCCCTCACCAACTTTGTTACCCTTTGTTGCCCTTCTTTGTGTTCTCTTGTTACATTCAATTTCATAGTAACTAACTACTGTAAACATACTGATATATTGGAAGGAATCATTGGGCAAAACCAACCAAAGATTTTGTGTGTAGATCAAGGAGAATTTTCTGAATGTACTGTAATTTCCCATCACTTAAAGTCCTTTGGTGGACTAAGTATTTTTATATTCCTCACTTAAGGGTGTGTAAATGCTATTCTGTGTATGAATTATTTCTCGTGCTGTTTGTTGTGAGAATATTTTTGTAAAATGAGTAGTAGGTCCATAAGTTCTAACGGCAGTCAGTATAAAGAACAAGCAGGTTGACAAAAATTTAGAAATTATGAGCAGCTGGAATGAGTCTTTTAGGATAATCGTATGGCTGGCATTAGAATTATTCAGTGGGCTGTGAAGTAATCTTAATGAGATTTAATTGGCTAACGTGAATTTTACATTTATTGTTATGAGCTAGCAAACATTTGGTTCAGATACATTTCTTTTTAATAGGAAGCACATTATGATAATAAAATCTGTGATAAGTGGGCTTTGTTTTAAATGGAAGTCTGCATGTTGCATATGAGTTCTATAAGCAGCTTTTCCCAGAGAGAGGTGTTTCAGTGTCCTTCAGACAGCAGTGTATTTGCAGAGGGACATTCAAACTTCCATAGCAAGGAGCAAGATCGTTTTACCTTCCCCTAGAAATAGAACAAACAGGACTTTTTTTAGTGTCTCTTTTCAAACTGCTGTCTTCAAGGAGGTGTAGAATAAACAACAGAACCACTGGAGTGTCTGTATTAAGTGTTCTGGAAGTGAATGCTGCAGCTTGGCCCTGTGAAGAAACAAGAAGAACAGAACCAGAGCATATGAATGAGTGAATTGCAATAGGTTGAACTGCATTTCTGGCAGTTATAGGGCATATTTCCATGAAACAGAAAGATTCTCTAGGAGATAATGTGCACTTCATAAGGTACTTGAAAACACAGTCCTGTTCATGGTTTTGTTTTTATCTGATGCATTTATTCCCCCCTGAGAAAAAAACAAATGTTTTAAGAAATCTTTGCTCTTACCTTTCAGATCAAGATCTAAAGAAAGGACAGAAGGTGTGGAAGTTTCCAAAGAAAAGAAAAAAGAGAAAGATGACAAGGAAGAAGAGAAAGATAAAGATGCCAGTGCATCTACTGTGGCCACTGAGGTAGGAGCTCTTAGGATGATCTTTTAACTTTTAAATCTATAAACCAGGAGTTAAGATAGCCACAGATTACTATATTAACAAAAGGAAAAGTATTGGCTAGAATCCCTGCTGAGTGAGAGAGTCCCACCCTCTCCTGTAACTCCTGTCACAATGTGTGCTTCTAGTTCTTGCCATTAGAAACATTCTGTTCCTATTGTGCTGTCGGCAAGGGCTTCCCATGCATAGATGGGTCACATTTTTGTTGTTGTTCTTGAAGGATTTTTGGAAGTAGAGAGCAACAAGATGGATCTTCAGTCTTTTATAGATCCGTGGCTAAAATGAGTTGAAACTCACTGATATACAGTATGCTGCTCTAGTAAAAAAAAAAAAAAAAAAAAAAAGGATGAAAGTTTTATTTATAAAGGAATTTTTTAATTCATTATTATTTTAAAAATTGCATATGTGCTACTATTGTGAAAAATAAAACAGCTGAATTTTGCATTTTAAAGCATTATAGTTGCTTTTAGTATTTTTTGTTTACTCTTGTGATGGGTCTGTGTATGCTCACTGATCAGCTTCATGCTCAGTAACGTTTGTTTGGAAAGGTACTTTGACTGAAGCATAGACAAATGCCAGTGGCCATTAATTTTCACTATTTGATTGTTTCTTGTTGTAGAATTTTGATCAGAACAAACTAGAAGAAGAAATGAGAAAACGAAAAGAAAGAGTGGAGAAGTGGAGGGAAGAGCAACGCAAGAAGGCTATGGAGAACATTGGAGAACTGAAAAAAGAAATTGAGGAGATGAAACAGGGAAAAAAATGGAGTTTGGAAGATGATGATGGTATTTTTATTTTATATGTAACATTTAAAACACATTTGTTCCTAATAATATTTTTATTATCTTTAAAGCATTTAATGACTTTTCAAAATGTGAACTATAAAATAGCAAAGTCTGGATCTTGTCGTGACTTCAAACATTTTAAGGTACTATTGAGATCAACAAACTGGAGAGATTTTTTATGAAGAAAAATGATACAGTAATAAAAATTGACTGTAATTATTTGGGCAGGCTAACGATTTAACATATGAACTCTTTTTCCTCTTTGTTTTATTCCCATATTTCTTAATCATATTAGATGACGATGAGGAAACTGCAGAAGGAGAAAAGGAAGGTGATGAGGTTGAAGATGAAGAGTTAGATCCTTTGGATGCTTATATGGAAGAAGTAAAAGAAGAGGTCAAGAAGTTCAATATGAGAAGTGTGAAGGGTGGAGGTGGCAGTGAAAAGGTAAAACTGTGTACTAGAATATTTGTCTTTTGAAAGGAGCTTTGTGTTTCAATGTGGAAATAATTTTGGAAAAAAGAAGGCAAGAAATGGGTTAGATCCATTTAGTGATTGTTTGCCTTAACTTGAATTTTCTGATATTTTTAATAAGCTGATAGCATTATCCTCATAAAATTTCACTGCAAGATATGTATGAAAAAACAGCGTAATGTGTTCAGAAGTACAAATATTCTGTATATCTTGTACAGCATGTCTTCTACGTGATAATGCAATAATTTCTATTAACTTATTTTCTTTTGCAGAAATCTGGACCAACTGTTACCAAAGTAGTAACCGTGGTGACAACCAAAAAGGCAGTTGTAGAGACAGAAAAGAAGAAAGGGGAACTCATGGAGAATGACCAAGATGCAATGGAGGTAATTGAAGAGTCTTGCGTTTGGAATGATGAAAGTTAAGGTTTGGGAGAAACAGGAAATGAATTGATGAAAGAATGATTTGGACTCCTCTCATACTGAGAGCAGATTTTCAGTGTCTGGTTTAATGTAGCCCAGGAAAAGCTTTTGCTTTTGAGTCAAATTTCTGTATAAACAAATAATAGCATCTCAGGATGTCATTCATAGTAACTTACACACTAATTATAATCTATACAGTATTCTTCAGAAGAAGAGGAAGTTGATCTTCAGACTGCCTTAACTGGCTATCAGACCAAGCAGAGAAAGCTGCTAGAACCAGTGGATCATGGAAAAATAGAATATGAGCCCTTCAGGAAAAACTTCTATGTTGAAGTACCTGAACTAGCTAAAATGACACAAGAGGGTAAGTACAAGTATGAGCAGAATACATTTTGATGTGCGAGGAAACAGCAAGTTCTGATTCAGCATGGAGTGTTCTTGAAGAAAGGAGCAAAAAAGTACTGTACAGTTCAAGACTTTGGAGTAATTTTGGAGAGAATTTGGATAGGTGAGGGAATTTTTTTTGAGCAATGGAATGAAAATGAATCAGATTCGTATTACCGATAACCTCACACTACTTCAAGGTAGCAAATAAACGTCAGGTTTGATTCTATTCTAATGCAAACTTTGTTTCAGAGGTGAATGTGTACCGACTGGAGATGGAGGGAATAACAGTCAAGGGAAAAGGCTGCCCCAAACCAATAAAAACCTGGGTACAGTGTGGTATTTCCATGAAGATTCTTACTGCTCTCAAAAAGTAAGCAAGCGATGTACAACCAATGCAGTGCTTGATTTTGTTTACTGTGTTCTATCATACATATATTTGTGAGAAAAATGTTCTTCGTTGCATAAAGCAACATGTCCATGCCTGCTGATGTTATGTGTGTAATCATCGAACGTTTTGCAGTCAGTATTAAAACATTGGTACAGACTGTTCCTTCTGCCATTTGTATCATGTTGCTGCTCATTTTTAAGATGTTTTTAGAATGACACCGATACGTAGATGTAAATATGAATATGTACATTTCTTCTAGCATGACTAATGTGTTTCTGTCAAATCATATTTTGGTCTTAAAATCTCTTTTTTTAATGTTTTTCTCTTTAAGACACGGCTATGAGAAACCCACACCCATTCAGAGCCAAGCTATCCCAGCAATTATGAATGGTCGCGACTTGATTGGCATTGCTAAAACAGGAAGTGGAAAAACTATCGCATTTCTGTTGCCCATGTTCAGACATATTATGGATCAGAGAGCTTTAGAAGAAGGAGAAGGTCCCATAGGTACAAAGCATTTATTTTCAGAAATGCTATTTAAGTAAACAAAAGCTCAGTCCTATGCTTTAGAAGGTTCTTTGGTTCTTCGCTTGTTTATGGGGATGAATGCTTAATATTCCTATAATCCATTAGTGAACAGCTTTAATTAATGAGCACTGTGCTGTTTGTTGTTGCTTTTGGTCACTCTATTTAACGTTGTCTCAAGAGCACTTGCATATCCATATATCTGCAAGGGAGGCATTGATTGATTTTGAAACTTTGACGTGTTTTCCACCTCATCCTCATGCTGTCATAGCTCTCTTTCTTGAAATCATGTCTTTAAAATAATACTAAATATAATAATAATAATAATAATAAATTTATGTTATAATAATAAATCATGTTAGTAAGTTAGGAAGTGAGCTGCGTATACTTCACGCAAATGTTTTAAACTTCATTGCAAAAGCTTATTTTTTATTGCTTAAATAACAGCATTTCTTATATTACAACATATGATGGGTATACTTTGCATTTCAGCTGTCATTATGACACCTACTCGTGAGTTGGCCTTGCAGATTACCAAGGAGTGTAAGAAGTTCTCAAAGACCCTTGGACTTCGAGTTGTTTGTGTTTATGGAGGAACAGGAATTAGTGAACAGGTATGCAAAAGACATACATTGCTTGTCAAATTACTCTTGGACTTTATTAGTCAATGCTACTTTTGAAGCAGATGTAGTTAATTCTCTTTCCCATAAAATCCAGTATGTTTGCAACATTTATTCTGAACTTTCTCTGTATAAACAGCACTAATGTAAAAGCTTAAGTGCTTGCATGCAACTTAGTCCTAAATATACCAATATTTTTGAAAATTCTTAAGTGTGGTCTTTAAAATTAAAGACTGTTTCTTTTTATATATGCACTGAGCATGACAATAATTGAACTACTTGTGAGATGTGGTAGTTGGAAAATGAGTGAGAAGCTGTATTTCTATGAGTATTCTCCTCAGGAGTTACCTCAAACAAGAACCAGGAATGTTGGCTTTGGTTTGTTGCATTATCAAATATTGCATGTCAGTGTAATTTGGAGATTAATTTCCAGGGTATTTTTCTACTCTGCATTTATAGAAATTTGATCTTTTGGTGTATTGGAGCATGGCGTTTAAACATTGTGAATGCACCATTTGTACTTGTGTGACACACAGTACTTCATACAGGCTGTGAACTGTATTGAAGGTCCTATCCCCTCTGTAACTTCTTCAAGTGAAAGTAACTTAGTTTGATAGAGGTCACTCTTTTGGAAAGCAGTTTTCAAGATCTAAAGAAATTCAAAGGTTTAAGGAAATTGCTAAGTAAAGTCTTTTAAATAAGCAGTTTACATTAATGAAACATCTATACAAAAGTAATTGAAAATAGATGTAGCTTTTTTTGTGAAGTCATACATGTTTGTTTGTTTGTTTGTTCTTTAAAGAAGACAACACTAATAGTTTGTTAAATTGAGTTTACTGTCTTTTAAAATCAGATAGCTGAACTCAAAAGAGGTGCTGAAATTATTGTTTGCACACCTGGACGTATGATTGACATGTTAGCAGCTAACAATGGTGAGTAGAAAGCCTTTTCCTATGGAGAATTTTTTTTATATTTGTTGTGTAATTCTAACAAATTCAAAAGATCATGTATTTTGCTAAATGCTTTTATGGAATTTTCTTATATCTCTTCAGGCTGCACTATCTAGCTATTGACAATATGCAGCACTAATAATAGGTGTAATCATATATTGGCTTGACTTTTCTGGGGGAGGACAGGAAGTGTTGCATTTTTGAAGAGTTTCTGAGAATATTTGTTAAATGTAAAACATGGTGTTCCAAATTTTTACCTTCAAGTTGTTTTGATAAGAGGTCATCTGACAGTTACTTGTGTGTCTGCCCATTGGTCTGACATTATTGTTAGTGTAGCTCAGCAGTTACTCGCTTCTACTTGAAGAGTATTTGACTGCTTTTATCTGTTGGAAAAAGAAACAACCACCAAACTACCAGACAAAAAAGCCCTCCCTACATGATTGTTAAAGAACTGAACTTGCATCAAGTATTCAAGTTGGTTTAAACTGAGACACTGCAGCTTTAAGAGGTTTTGTCCTAGTGTAACCATTGCATGCTTGCTAGATAAAGTTTTATTATTAAATTATTCCACATCAAAACCTCTACTAAACTGTTGACATTATTTAACTTCTGTGGAAAAAGTACCTTCAAGAGATATAGAACTGGGCTTCCAAGACTTAAATCGTCAAAGGTAGGTACATTAATGCTGTTCCCAAGTCAATTTACGAAGTTATTATTTGGGGATGGAAGTGTCAGGGTTGTTAAATAGATAATGTAGATTTTAATAAATATGTATTTTGTTACTTAAGTGTGAATTCCTTTTAAAAAATGCAGCGCTAAATCACCCCCACAAAGTAATTGGAAGCATCAGCTGCAATTTGCTGAAGCTGAAAGGACCAAATTCTGCTGTAGTTTGATAGGCAGAAGCCTCAGTCTTGGTCGTAGAGAATATGAAAATATATATTTCATTTTGAGAGCACTTGACAGTGTCACTGTGCAGTTGTTTGAAAGTGAATATGTCCACATATTTATATATTTTGAGAATATGATTCTTAAATCCTTGAGTTAAATCCTTTTAATGAAAGGGAACCTCTTAGGTATTTGTTTGGGAAGGGTGTTAATTATCCTGTTCATCCTCGGCTCCAAATGTTTGCAGATACACAACTTGTTCATTTTGTTTCCAGCTGTCCCAGAGTTTGGGGTGGTCCTTATTTTTAATTCTGGTAGTGATACTGGGTAGGTTTTAATCTTTATCTATTCGTTTGGAAAAGACTGCTTGCTCTGTTTTATGCGTATTATTAGCAGTTAACTAGAATTACTGATTATCCTCAAATAGTTATTTCTAGCTCCAAGGAAGCATTACAGATAATATGTATAAAAGGAATTTTTCTGAGGCTGCAACAGTTAGCACTGGACTTTGCCTTCCACACATGCGCTGTAATCTCTAATATGTTTTTTTCTAGGTGGCGCTGTCAGATTATGGCTGATGTGGCTCCTTGCTTCATCTCAGTCTTAGTTTTATGATGTGTTTTGGCGAGGGCAGTTTTCTGAATTTTACAGGTTCTTCTGGCCCTATGATGGTATGCAAGAGAAGAGTTTGACAAAATAAAGGGCCTAGTGCATACTTTACACGTTTCCCAGAATGTTTGAGATTAAAATGAGAACATTGAAATTCACTTCTAGTGAATTTTTTTAAAAAAGTAATTAATGCATTTCTTGGAAGATAGTGAGAATATACGTAACATTTAAATATATATATACATATATATAAATAAATTCCTGAGGGAAACTAAATTTCCATTTGATTTTGTTTCCCATGTGCTTTTTCCTCTCCTTTCTCAGGTCGGGTGACAAATCTCCGCAGAGTCACATATGTTGTCCTTGATGAAGCAGACAGAATGTTTGACATGGGTTTTGAGCCTCAGGTAACTGATGACATGCCTAAAAATGCTATGAACTGCTACTTTTCACTTAAAGGATTTTGCAGTATCCTATGCTATGTAATTATTAGACTACCAATAACAGAATGTGCTGTATATAGGTGACAATTTAAACTAACATTTTCATTTTTGCATTATCCTCACACTTTAGTTTTGATAAATTCTTAATTAGAACATAATTTCTCTCTAATCTGTATACATGTGTTTGTTAGGCAGTAGTTGCTGGCAGCTTTGGGCAGCCAGAGCTCTTTCAGTTTTCTTCAGCTATCTTGTCCTCCAAAACTAAAACCATTCCTTTGTCTCCTAAGCTGTAGAGTTTCTGCAGCAAGTCTTAGGTTTTCTTTTGGGTTGCTGGGGGGTGATGGTACCACTTTCTGTTGACTCCAGCCTGTCTTGCAGTGCTCTCACATACGTCCCAAGAGGAAATCTGCGAAGAAATATTTTGTATTCGATGTAATCCATACATTACCTAACTTATTTGATAAGACAGCTCTATATGTATACGAATTTCAATTACAAAACTTGAGTACTAACAGGAAATGTTCTCTTAAACCAGGTTATGCGCATTGTAGACAACGTCAGGCCTGACCGTCAGACTGTCATGTTCTCTGCTACTTTTCCCAGAGCTATGGAGGCATTAGCTCGGAGAATCCTAAGTAAACCCATAGAAGTGCAGGTTGGAGGCAGAAGTGTTGTCTGTTCTGATGTGGAGCAGCATGTTGTAAGTATCACACATCCACCTTGCTTATCCCCTTTCAGAAGGTTTCCAGCAATATAAAAAGAGCTTTTATTTTTAGATGTTCATTGAGTTTTGTTAGATGTGAACTGAAAAGGTAGCACAACTTAATCTGCAAATGCAGTGTGATCACTTTTTTTAACTTGTTTTTACACCGCTAAGCTGTGCAGCAGTTTTGTCACTAGTGATGGATGCAACATGGAAAAGCAATCTCCTGTTCCTGACTTTTTTATTATATTATTTTTATGCCTCTTATCCTGAATGTGCTTAATGACTGAAGATACAATTTATATTCTTTTTGCTTTCTCCTTTTTTTCTTTTTTTTCCAGATTGTGATTGAAGAGGAGAATAAGTTCTTAAAGCTACTAGAGCTACTGGGACATTATCAGGAGAAAGGATCAGTTATCATATTTGTGGACAAACAAGAACACGCTGATGGGTTGTTGAAAGATTTAATGAGAGCTTCTTATCCCTGCTTGTCTCTTCATGGAGGTAATCTGCAATTTTAAGGGCTCACATCAAGATCACCAACCTAGAATATTTATATGGAGTAGTTAGGAAGAAAAGCAGCTTGCCTAGTTCCTGGGTAGTACCAGATTAGAATATTTTGTCATAAGCAGTTTTGCTTTGTAATGGGGGTAATATATTTGTTTCTTAATTTTGAAACAGGTGTGATAGTTTTCTTCTGTTCCCTGTGAGATGTCATCAGATACCAAATCTTGTCTCAGTGCAATGGGGTTGTGAACTGAATGTAACACTTCTTAGGGAATATTACTAACTCCATAATGTAGAGTAGTGAACAGCAGCTGAGGGAGTATTATGTGAGATTTTGTTTGAAATTCCACAATAATAGCAGCTTTTGTCTCACTTTTCTGCCCTCAAGAGGTAATATAATGGAAGTAGTTTAGCAGTCAGAAGAGGCCATCTCTGTAGAATGTTGTCCATCACATATATTTGTCTGAATATGAATATAGTGCTCTTGAATGTACAGCAACCAATAAGTACAAAATTACTGTTCATGTAGTGCAACATTAGAAGAGGGAAAAAATATCCTCATTTTTTTGAGTAAACAAAGTTGCCAGATGAGATCTGAGCTGAAATATGAAGTCAGGTAGAAATTATTTTGAAACTCTGCAGGATTTTGTAATGGGAAAACTGAAGTTTGAATTACTGTGGATAATAGACAAAGAGCTTTACTATCCTGGATAATTTATATTGCCTGTGAGTGTAAGTGTATGGAAATGTTATTTCCATAGAGTTTGAGTTGTTTGAAGTTGGAGAGTATTTTGACTGATGCCCAAATTCTTTTGAGTCGAAATCAGAAGGTAGTTAATAAAAATGAATAAAGGCCCAGCTTCATAATGTGTCTGGTTTCCTGCAGGCATTGATCAGTATGACAGGGACAGCATAATTAATGATTTCAAGAATGGAACTTGCAAACTTCTGGTGGCCACATCTGTAGCAGCAAGGGGTTTGGATGTAAAACAATTGATGCTAGTGGTCAATTATAGTTGTCCCAACCATTATGAAGATTATGTGCACCGAGCAGGCCGAACTGGACGAGCTGGTAATAAAGTAAGTGTAATCACTTGCCTGTTATTGTTAATACTGAAAAAATGGCCTTGTTTACTGCTTGATAAAGGTGTTCTCAAGGGGTAGCTACCGAGGGAATATTTTGTTATTGATGTGAAGAAGGTTTTCTTTTAGAGTGCCTTTAAGGTTTTTGAAAGATGATGTGTAAAATACACTCTGAATTTTAGCACTGTGGAAGTTGGAATTTATATTTTCTTCTGCCATATGGATGTCCTTTTAAATTCCATTTGTAGCTTAAAGTTTGGTGTTTTTCACCGTTGGAAATGGGCCTTACTGAGTTTCTAAGGTTTTCTTTTCTGAACTTACAACCATGAAAGGATTGAAAGGAAAGAGTTCAATTTCTGCCATCTGTGGTTGATCACCTCTATATCATCTTCCTGGGAAATCACATTATTCATTCTACATTTTTTCTGGAAAAAAAAAAAAAAAAGCATGAATATCACAGTTGTTTTTATTGACCAGAACAACAGCATCTCTTCAAAGGCATGACAGTAATGTTAGAGATAAAGTTTCTGTAGAGGTTGTTCTTTACCATCTTTTAAATTAATTTTGACTAGGGATTTGCATATACGTTCATTACTGAGGATCAGGCACGGTATGCTGGTGATATCATTAAGGCTTTGGAATTATCTGGGAATCCAATTCCTGCTGATTTAGAGAAGCTCTGGTCTGACTTCAAAGAACAACAGAAGGCTGTAAGTAATCCTTTATTCCAAGTGCACTTTGCTCTGTGGTTAATACATGTGCTGTGGGTCCAGTTGTGCACTTTATACAATTGTGAGTCGTTGCTGAGTTCATTGAGAGCACACACATGTGCTGAGGTTTTGAGATTTAGGGATTTGTTGTTGTTGTTGCTTGGTTTTGATTGCTTTTTGTACAGAATGCCAGTTGTGTATTGCTTCTGCCTGCTGAATTAACACAGCTGTTCTTATTGTTCTTCACTGTAAAGTACAGTATTGAAAATTTGAAGAGCTTTCTAAACATCCTAGGGCTTGCTTTTTTAAATAACTTTATTTTTGTATTTCTATAGTTATCGTATTACTTTGGGAAATTGATTTTAAAATTTCAGTTTATACATGGAAGCACACTGTTTTTATTTTAGGAGGGAAAGCTGATTAAAAAAAGCAGTGGATTCTCTGGCAAAGGCTTTAAATTCGATGAAACAGAACAGGCCTTGGCTAATGAGAGAAAGAAGCTACAGAAAGCAGCTCTTGGCTTGCAAGATTCAGATGATGAAGATACAGCTGTTGATGTAAGTGCCTGAAGTTTTTTGAGAATTTCCAATGTATTCATGTGTTGTTTTTTTCCAGTTGGTTACAGAGCATGTTGCAGAATGCATGGATTTTTGTTATGATATGTCCTGTGCTGCTGATTTTATCAATTATATTCCATGGGTAGATGTGTATGTATTCTTTGATAGAGAAGATGTATATAGCTCTCCTATGAAGATCTTGAAAATCTGTTCCTGACCAACTGGTATTTTATACTTAAAATATGTAGTGATGTAAATGTCACAGAGGTTAATACTGATATTAATCTTCCTTAGATGAAAAGGAACGATTGCCTCAAATGACAATTGCCCTCAATTACAAACGTTTTTTTTATGTGTAGTGTTTTAAAGAAATTCACAGTGGCCTTTTCTAAATTCTTACTAGGTCTCTTTCAAAATATTAGACTCATTTTTGTGAACTTGCAAGTAAATGCTATGTTCAAACTTACTCCTGATTAGTAGATCTCTTCAGTTTGTTCTGTAGTTCTGAGCATTCTTCCATCATTTATGCAAGATTTACATGTGAACCGTGTGAACTAAATTGTCCTTAGTGTTTTCTGTCTTTAAGATGATTTTCAATGGTAAATGCAGTGATTTAATAATATTTATTTTGGTCAGATTGATGAACAAATTGAAAGCATGTTCAATTCAAAGAAAAGAGTAAAAGACATGGGAACACCAGGATCATCAAACGCTCCTACGCCATCAGCTGGTAATGCAGAAAAACTGGAAATTGCTAAAAGATTGGCTTTGAGAATCAATGCCCAGAAGAATCTCGGAGCAGAGGCACAAGTATTTGTCCCCTTCCATTTTAAGGTAAGCCTTTTGCAGCACTTTACAGTGTTCAGTTTTTCACTTTGTGACTGCTGTTTTGTTCAGTGTTTCTTCTCTCTGATGTCATACTGCATTATGTAGCTCATTTACACTGCTATCTCAGTTGAAAGTTGTACTTTTTGTAATTGAGCTAATTTAATACAGAAGTGGAAATACTTTGTCTGCCTTGGCAAAAAAAAAAAAATCTAATTGTATAATTTTATCAGTAATGAGAGATAAATTTGATTTTGTCAGTTTAGCAGAGCTGCAGAATATGTGCTGAAGCACGTAATGCACAGTTTGGACTTAGGTAATGAGGTCTAGTGTGTCCAAAGGTATTTTGAGCTGAAGGGTGTGAAAGACAATTAAGATCTTCTGTATGCAGGGACATTCTGAAGATGTATTTGTATGTTGGCATTTGTAATATGTAGAAAGCTTTAACGAAACCCTTGCTGGCTTGTGTGGGACTTTTTTTGGCTACACTGTTTTCAACGTGGACCTGTTCTTCTTTCTCTTTTTTTTGATTGGTTGGTTTTTACAGGATGTGATGCAGCAGGCTACAAACGCTATCCTTAGGGGAGGCACAATTCAAGCTCCTACAGTATCTGCTAAGACCATTGCAGAGCAATTGGCTGAAAAAATCAATGCTAAGCTGAATTATGTACCTATAGAGAAGCAGGAGGAAGAGAAACAGGATGGTGGACAGAATGAATCTTTTAAGAGATATGAAGAAGAATTAGAAATCAACGACTTCCCACAGGCAAGTAAACATTTTGCTAATGACCATTATTTAATAAGTATAGCTTGGACAGTGATGACTCCAATAACACGTTTTATTTCTATTTCTTATTCTAGTTGAAATCACTACATCTGTGGTTACTTTTCAGCTTATAGGCAGTGAGTGCTTTGGATGTATTACAGAGAATATCCCCAAAGCAAGCATTCCTTACTATACAAAACTCTTCTTACCCTCTGCTACTGATTTATCTCATATCCAAACCTTTGACACTGTCTAGTATTATATTTGTAAGGCCATATTACTATCTATAACTCTGATTTCTGTTACTGATAACTGTTCCTTTTTGTTAAATGGAAGTACACAGAATATTTGCCCTGGAGGTCTAGTCTTCCTAAAGAAATATTAAATAAAATACTTCAGTGCTGTTTCAGAAAACTGTAAGAAAAAGTTACAGGTTTTAAACTTCCAGTGTAGTAAAATGGAAGGTCTTTAGGAGGTCTTGCTTCTGTAGTACTGTTGTTTGTCTTAAAGATCAACTATGCTTTGAAATGCTGTTGTGTTGGTGCTTTTCTGCTTGTTGATTCTCCTGTATCCTTTCCCTTGCAGACTGCCAGATGGAAAGTTACCTCCAAAGAAGCACTACAGAGAATCAGTGAATATTCTGAAGCTGCTATTACAATCAGAGGAACTTATTTCCCTCCAGGCAAAGAACCCAAGGAAGGAGAGCGAAAGATTTATTTGGCTATAGAGAGTAAGCATTCTTTCTTTAAATATTTCAATTAAACATACTACTCTAGTTTCATTATTAGGCATAGAATCTCTATAGTCAAAGAGTTTGGATGCTCAGTTACAGACTTGCTGTAGTTACTTGGCAGATAAATGTAATTACTACGAAAGCACTCATTTGTCTCAGTACCCTTTGGCAGATGATCCATGGGTAGCACAGTGATGCTGCTCCTGAGAAGGTTGACCTGGTACAGAACAGTAGCAAACGTTTATGGGATCAGTTTGGGGGAGAAACAAGCACAAAAATGTTGTTTGTGCCCACATGAAATAAAGAGAAAAATTGAATTTATGGCTGTAAAAAGAATAAGAAATTACATCAACTATTGCAACAGAAACTTTGCAAAGTTTGTGGTGATTGAGTAGAATCTTTCTTAAAGAAATACAATATTTATTCATTTATTTATGAATACTGTAATTTACAACTGTCTGTTGTAGATATTTTCCTTAGAACAGGCTGTCACTAGCTGTGGCAGTCTATACAGTACTAATGTGTTCATCAACAAATAGTTGAGGATATTTGGCTTTACAGTGTTTGTGAAAATTGCCAACACTGTTTAACTTTTTTGTCTTCAGGTGCCAATGAATTGGCTGTACAGAAAGCAAAGGCAGAAATCACACGACTTATAAAAGAGGAGCTTATTAGATTGGTGAGTAAAATGTTTAGAATACAGAGAGAAAGTACTTCAACTAATGCTTTATGAAACTGATCTTTTCAAATGTTAGTACTCTGGCACACATTTATATTAATACCAGCGACTGGAACTTGTAGAAGTTTTTTTTAAAAAAAAACATTGAGCAGCCCAGAAAAAATACATTACTTTGTTCAATCAGCTAGACATATGGCTGTTATCCAGCCACCAGATGGAGATAACACCTTAACAGAGCACCCCTTAAATACTCGGCTCCTCATTGATTTCCTAATTTCAGTACCATCAAGCAGGGGGGAGGAGAATTTATTCCCCTTATCTTAATCATTTATATGTCCTCAGAGATCTTGTTTGCCGTAGCATTACAGCATACCCAGCTGATAATCACCTGTGTACATTTTTTTTTCCCAGTAACATACTGTCTTGACAAATAGTGGTGTGAGTTCTGTAGCTGAGGAAACCATGGCTTCCTCTGAAATAGCCCGAGTGTGACTGTGTTACATTACTGCCTTTGTTGTTTTCCTTTTAAGGAGTCCTTATAGATTTACTTTTTCTCAAAATTGTTGACTTCTGTATACAAATGTTTCACAAAGGAGGTTGCTAATGGACTGCTTATTTACATGTAACATGGATTTACTATGAATGAGCTTTTATTACAATTAATTTCTCCATTTTTGCTTTTAACCGTGATTTATTCTCTCCTCTATTTGCAGCAAAATTCATACCAACCAACCAACAAAGGAAGATACAAAGTTCTATGAGTACTTGGAGCAATCTGTCTGCTGGTGGCTGGTGTGTGAGACTTCGTGGCTTCTGTTGTTTTTGCTGTTTACACTGCTTATTGTAAATTAAGATTTTTTTTTTATTTTGTCTTGCAGACATTTTATAACAGAAAATTGATATTTGCTGAGACATCTTAATTCTTTCCACTAAAGTTAGCAGTCTCAAAGCAGACCAGTTTTGGCGAAGCATGACTTAATTTAAAAGTGCAGTTTATATACTTTACACCATAAAGAATATAAAATAAAATGATTTTAATTTTCCTGGCAGGCTATACTGTTAAGTAAATTAAACAGTGTTGGGATTTGTGTTGGAAATTGTTAGAATGTACCTGCTTCATATTGTGGGGAAGATTCACACCATATCAGTTTATACTGGAATAATGATAAAACACAAAAATAAAGGCAGGATTTTCTCCTGATTGATCCATAGCATCTCTCTGGCTGGTTCCACACACAGGAATTCTCTCTACAAATGTCCTTCTAATGTCAGAGAGAATTTTATCCAGAAATACTTGGTCTAGTTTTAAAATCTTCTCATCCTTTTTGTTTCCCATTTTGTCCTTATGATCCAGGTAACAGAATAACTCTTCGGTGTTCTTTTTTCTTTTCTTTTTTTCCTTTTTTTTTCTTTTTTTGTAAAGTGAAATGTTTTGTAGTATGAAAATAGTTTCCATGGTTTTTTTCTAAACATCAGAATTTTAGGATTATATTTTTTTCCTCATTCTCTGTCATAGGAATGAAAGACTGTTTCATTTAAAAAGAAATACTCAGAGGAAGAAAAAAAGAGAAGCCTCTTTTGTAATGAATATATGACTGTCACATTTTTTTACAGTGTTCTTATATATGCATTTAATGTGATTGTCCTTGGGGTTGTTGTCTTTATTACTGTTAGGCTTTAAGTAAAAATTGATAACAGTATTTATGAATTGGATCCACGGATTTTGACTATCGTTGCAGTAAGTAAGCTACCACATTACTGGGACAGGAAAGAATTTTTTTTTTTTTGGAGGTCTCATCCACATAATCATTAGTATTTGTGATGGACTCCTTACTCTAATCGTTTAGCTTTCCTGACTCTACTTATTTGCAGCATAAACAGCAGTAATTGAACCATCTTGTTCTGGCAGCTGCACGACTTTGGAGATGATGACTTTCAAAAGGACTTTTGTAGAAAGCTTTTCTTAGCTGACACTGAGAAGAAATGTGTCATTTTAAAGTAGCTGTGTATATACTGCTTTAACTCTGGTGAAGACAAATCATACAATCTGCATCATAGCTGTACAGATTTACAACTTTGGTTTCCAATCTTCAGGTAATTTAAATGGCCATTTCCATTTATTTACAATTGTCTGTTATTCTCATGTCTGTGTCTTACTTTCAATACAGGAGAGGGAAGTAATGATGATATTAACAGCATACATTCAGTATAAAAACACCCATAATGTAATACTTTCCAATGTTAATCCAGTAAGTCCTTGGGTAGAACAAAGAGAAGCACACAGTAATGCATTTCAAAATTTAAAAGAGAAATCTCAAGCTAAAAATTTATGGTTTCCTTTAAGTACATCAGGTTTCTTTCTGTTAAAAAGTGGATGTTGATATGTTTCATACAACTTTGTGCAATTGTTTCACCTTCTGACACTGTTTTCCAAGAAGAGTAACATATTTTGATGTATTTCATGGAGAGCACTTTCAAGTTCGGACAGTCGGACATTTCTTTAAAAATCTTGTTTCAGAATGTTCAGATATATATTGGTATCTCCTAAAAACAAACAAACAGAAGGGCACGAAGGAAACATTCTTGTGATTTCCAGCTTTGCTCTGTTGGATTTCAGAGCTGAAACAATGTCTAGTCTTTAAACTTCCTGGGGTTTTTAAATGCAATGTCAATATTCCTATGTTTTTTAAATTCCAGCAAAAAATAAAAAACAATTTCAATGTATATTTTTCAGAAACAGTCTTTTTGAATAACTTATCTGTTTTATGCACTTACCTTGCTTCCACATTTTCTTTGAGTTAGCCTTTTACTGTTTGGAGTAGGAAAATACGTATAGTAACTATTGCTTGTCATTTTCTGCTAGAAATGCAGTAGGATGCAGATCAGACTCAGTTAACGGGTGCTGCTGCTGGGAAGAAAGTTGCAGGAATGGTGTCTGAATACATGGAAACAGGAGCTAAATGCATATAAGACAGAAGAAATAAATTTTCAAATTAACAAGTATACAAGGTAAAAAAATAAAAATAAAAAAAATAGTGAAGGTGAGAATAAAACTTGAGAGAAGAGAGAATTAAGTACTGGAAAGAGTGCACTTAGTTTTTCCCATGTGTACAGGGGAAGAGTTTTATAAACATCCCTGTTTCAGTGCTTTCCAGGGAATCTGACCTGGGCAGATTCCTGTCCCCAGCTGTTGGAAGAGTGCAGGGCTGATGTACTTGTATTTGTTTGTTAGAACAAGCTCTGCTTATGTGTTTTGTTACCTACCCAAGGTGAATCGTTCCTGGCTTTCTAAGTTACCCTGGCGCTTGCAGTGCTTGAATAAACAGGGAGTGGTATTTTGGGTGGGTAAGTAAAGAAATATTTGGTTCTGGGTCACGGACAAGTTTTTGCTTATGTTCATGAGAAACTGCTGTTATTTCAGAACTACTGCCATGGTTAAAGAAACAAATATGTTTATTTGTAAGAATGGAGCCTGTGGAGGTTGCCAGAATTAATTTTTAATTTTTTGTCACAGGCATGCGCTCTCACTGCTGTTCAACATAGCGCAGCTTTTTTCTAAGTTAGCCTGACTGCCCTGTAAGTAGGCTGGAGATGAACTGAGGTGCTCAGCGTGTCAGTGTTGGTATAAAACCAGCCCTTGCCACAAGTGTAATCGCAGTGAGTTATTCATGAGCGTCGTGCACGGTCCCTTCCCTTCACTACATCCGATCCCAAGAGCAGGATGTGTGTGCGCGCACGCTGACCTCACGTGATGCCCGAGGAATGCACTTTCCTTTTGATTATTTTTCTTGACCCAGATCACTTCCAAATATGGTCTCAGCTTAAACAAGTTTGTGTTCTTAGAGCTTGGGCGTTTTTCAGAAGAAATTCTGGCTTCTAAATAACTGTGGTGGTATGGGGGGAGCGGAGGCGGAGAACAACCTAAAAATGTAAAGATAAAAGGTGCCCAGCTGGACTCCTATTTGTCCCAGAATGTACATTTTGTACAATGTTTATATGATGGTAGACAGGAAGATTTGTTTTGATATTTTTAGCTACAGTGGAAACAATTGTTTTTAAATAAATGACTATTGCTGACTGATTGCCACCCAAACACTGCTTCTCTGAGACTTCTCATCTGAAACAGAATTAAATGGTTTTCTTTATCCAAACTAAGAGAGAGAGAATTGTTAAGCTAATCAGCATAAGCACAGGTAAAGTAATTAATATCTCAGAAATTACTAGTTGTAGTGAGCTAAACAATTATTAATAACCTACTGTGAAGTGTGTGATTATTATTTTATACTTTGACCATTCTAAGTATGAAGCTTATCATCACAAAAATGTTTCTCAGAAAAACAGATAGCACTGGGCAACTGCTCTGAAAGTTACTGCTTAGCAAGGGAAATGTTATACTTAACGAAAATCCTTAATCTTAACGAAAACATACATTTCCTCTGCCTGTGTATGTTAGCAAACAAATGAATTTTTAGCTTCAGTAACTTGTTCGTAAATAGAGCACTGCTCATGACAGTTACAGTTCTAAATTCTCACAGCTTGCTCAGCATTCCGTGTAGCTGAGGACAGCACTGAGCTCCTGTGACTCTCTGTGTTGACAACAGGAGGACCTTGTGCTTAACTTGAAAATTTGGATCCATCAGAGAGACCCAGTGCAGGAGAATGGGATTTTGTGGTCTAGATGTAGGGAGAGGCAGCATTTCATTGCACTACCTTACAGATAATGTGATTGTCTGCTACTGGTAATGATAACTTAGAGAAAGAAAGTGGGAAGCAAATTCCCAGTCTGTACAATGGCTGTGTTTCAGACCCAGGGAGATTTCACAAAACAAGATGGTCACAGACACATCTGTCTTTGTTTGCTTGCTGTTTTTATTAGCAGCATGCAGATGACAAAACCAGACCCCATTGCTACCAGATTAATATTTGAGCCTGTGAGCACTGAAGGTGACTCATCTGGAATGGGTTTGCCCAGGGCACAATGCAGAGCAGCCACATGGGCACAGCACCACATAAAGGCACATCCAGCACTGAGCTCTCACAGCAGCAATCTCAACAAGAGCCTGATTCAGGTTTCAAGGCATCATGGATGGAACCTGTCGCTGTTTCCAATTCCAAGTTCACTGCTGTGTGTTGCTGTGAGCATTTCTGCATTCTGTTAAGCTGATGGTTTGTTTTTTTTTTTTTTTTCTGGACAAGGCAGGAGCCTGACTTCCACACTAAACTACTGACAAAACAAGATACCAAAGAGATTCTCAAATTTCTGTTCTAGACTTGAAGTGGCATTTCCAACAAGTTAGAAGCAATGGAAGCTCATAAATAAACTCAACTCAATGCTGATTTCCCTGCTGCTTTATGCGGGAAGTGGTGATTCCTTCACACACTGGGAAGCACCGGCAAAAAAATCCAAGCCACGGTCGTGGCAGGATGTTTCACAGCAATTATCAGCCTGAAAAGCTCTGAGTATTGTAAGAATAGAATACCGTGGGGTTGGAGAACGCGTGCACTCCTTCGGGTGACAGTTCCACAGAGGTGTACGTGCTATTTGAGGACTTGCACAGCGTTATTACTGATACCTAGGTGCTGGCAGTGGGCCGGCCGGTGTGGCTGAATATCTGGCACTGTTGCTGTTGGAGTAATTAACGGCACTGATTACAATCAGTTGGTCGTGCCCTCCTGTGGGCGTTACTGTGCCGTTTCACTGGTCCTGACCTCGACGGCAGGAGGCTGGATGGTGGGCACAGTTCTGCGTTCTGGGAGGACTCTGAATGCCGTCCAAAGGTACAAAGCTTTGTTTTTAACAAACTGCCCCTGCACTCTTATATAAACTCTTTAGAACGCGGATGGATAAAATAGGGCAAAACACTGAACGAGCGTCAGCATTCCTTGCGGCCCGCGAGATGGCAGCGGTCACGGGGGGCCTGGGGCTCACAGGAGCCGCGGCGCAGGGCAGCGCTCCCAACCCGGCTCCGGCCCGCCCCGCAGCGCGCTCCGCTCCGCTCCTCTCAGGGAGAAAATGGCGGCGCGGCCGCCGGGCGCCCCCGAGGCCACCGCCTCCTCCTCCTCCTCCCTCCCGCCCCGCCCCGCCCCGCCCCGCGCAGGCTCGCGGCGCGGCCCCGCTCGGGAGCGCGCTCCTGCCGCCCGCCCGCCCGCGCCCGCCCGCCGCCGCCGCAGCGCCGCTCCCTGCAGCCGCCCGGCGGGGTGTGGGGGAGGCGGCCGCTCGCTCCCGCCCGCCGCCCCGCGCCGCTCCCAGGCTCGCAGGCGCCGCAGGCCGCTCCGATCCCCGCAGGTAGGCGCGGGCCGGGGCCCTTCTGCTCGCGGCGGGAGGGCAAGATGGAGACGGCGGGGGAGGGGACCGCCGCGCCGCGGGGCCTTCGAGCTCCATTCGCTCGGGGCCGCGAAGAGGGGCCCGCGCGGCCTCGGCGGTGACTCCCGCGGCCGGGCGGGGCGGCGGCGGCGGCGCTGCGGCGGGGCCCGGCTGGGCCGCGGGGCGGGGAGGGCTGGAGGCGGCGCCGGCGGAGCGGGCGGGGAGCGGCGCGGGGCAGCTGCGGGTGGCAGCCGGGCCGCCTCTCCTGCGGCCTTCCGTCTCGCCCCGTCCCGGCTGCGGGGCCGCGTGCTGCGCTCGGGCCGCCCGCGTTACCTGCGGCGTTCCCGGCTCTGGTGCTCGCGTCCCGCTTCTCGCTGCGGCAGCCGAGCCGCCGGCCTGTGGGATCGCAGTTGGTACGGACGTGCGTTTCCTTGAGGCGTGCGAGCTGTACGCGTCCTGCTCGCGTGCATTTCGGGGCTGCCGAGCGCGCTGTTGCTCCCCTGCCGTCCCTGTTTGTTGGTGCGCTCACACGTGTGTGCGCTGCGTTCCTGCAAATAGCCCGGCGTGTCCCCAACGCTGCGTGGTCCTAACGGGGTAATTCATCAGTAGGTGGCTGCGCCTTCAGCTTGTTTGTATTTCTCTCAGGGTGTCACTGAAGAATGCAGCAATTACTTGATCCGTGTTCTTGATGTTGTTTTGTTTTGTTTTTTTTTTTTCCCAAAATATGAGGAGCACTTGGTACATTTCTTAACTAGCGGTTTATTCCTATATCAGTATTTAAGTACCAGAGTTTTTCTTACTTTACTTTTTTTTCCTGTGTCATTACCCCTCAGTGTTAGGTGCGCCCAGAGCAGCGCTGTGCCGTTGCCCGCCGTGGCACAGCTCCGGCAGGTGGATGGATGTTGGCTCTGCACGCTGTGTCTGGGGCTGTTGGTAGGTGTCACAGCCTCCTGTGCTAATCCTGCTGCAGAGAAACCTCGTGGAAGCGCACGTGGGGAGCTCAGCGCTGGGACTAGGGGATGTTTGATCCCTCTCTTAAGCTTTAGAATCCTTCTGTGGGAGGAGGCTGGGGAAGGTGAGAACACCCACGGAGATGAATGAGCACCTCGTGCCTCTCAGCTGTTCCCTGGGGAGAGGAGAGGTGGGCGAGAACACCCGCAGAGATGAATAACCATCCCCAAGCTGAGATCTCCTCTGTTTTTCTTGGGAACAGGTCCTTTAGAGGAGGAGACAGCTTTACAAGCACTAATGATACTTTCTTTATAAACATGCACCTCCACCTGCTCTGTCATTCATATGCATATCTGGCTTGCTTTGAAAGTTGGTAATTACAGAACCGCAGAATAATCAGGGCTCTGTTTAACAACGGCACTTTCTCAGGCACAGCCTGGCCCGATGGCTGCCTTGCTTCCGTGCTGCTTTGCCTCCAATCGTCTTTGCCTTTTCCCCACCCTCCAGCCCCTGTGCTGCATTTGGGATTCATCAGACCCTTTTGTTCAGGTCTTCTAGGTTTGCTGAATTGTCAGAAAGTCATCTTTGTGAGGTCTGGTCAGCGCTGGGAGTAACTGGGGTGGGTCATGAAGGAGCAAGAGTAGTTGGTGGCAGTGAGGTAACATCGTGTTGGCTAACCAACAGCTTTGGTCCATCTGTGCTGAGGAAAGTGTGTTCCTGTGCTTCCTCTCTCGCCCCAATGCCAACCAACTGCTGTGTTTTCTTGTTGGATCAGTTTTTGCCTGGATGTTGACTTGTCCTGTTCTTGCACAACAGTTAGTGTTGGTACAAGGACTGGGGGTGTATAAGAAGAGGAAACAGCAAGATGATCCTGCTCAGAAGAAGCGTGGGTTTGGGGTAGTTTCTACTGGTGGTGAAGCCAAACTGTCAGTTGCATCCATGTGATCAGAGGTGCAGTTAATTAGATTACTGACATGGCCCTCAATTTCATGAAGCTGTCCTGACTCGTTTAAGCGTCCTCTTTCTCATCATCTCTCCACAGTTACATGATCTTAATTCAGTAGGAAAAAGCCTAGCTGGTGTTGATACCTACTGAAACTCTGCCTTTGGGCAGGACAGACTTATTTTGGGGCTGGAGAGCTGAGGGTTCCCTGTTTGCTGGGCTGTGCAGTCACATCATGCTGTGCTGTTGTTGATACAAAGGCGGCCGGCGTTCGGGCTCTCCAGGGGACAGCTTCTCTATGTGAGTGCCTAAGTCTCATTTCCTTCTGTTAGATATTGTGAATTTTGAGTTTATAGCAAACAAAAGCCACTTTCACCTATTGCCATCAAACATCTAGAGTATTCCACTGAGGGAAGCAGTTTTTTGTGTTCAGCATGGCTGAAATGGGTTTGGAACCCGAGTGAAATGCCCCTGCACCTGTACTGCCTGAATAACAGCAGTGCCTCTGTGCTGAGCATCCTGGGGGATGGGGAGATGGGGAGAAATGCCTCCAGCTCCCGGAGGGGCAGTGCTTCTAATTTGTTGCATTGCTTGGGGAGTACTTTGTTTCTCCATCTTCTTTTTTTGGATAAAGAATAACTGGAGAAAGAGGAGAGAACACTTCAGGAGACAATTTTCTATTTGCAATCTTGTGTTATTGCAGTAGTGCCAGCAAACCAACGCTGTAAAGAGATTGTTTTATGTTTTGGCTCATTTCAATTTATTTTACCAATTGTCAAATGATGAGAAAAATTCTGTTATACAACGAACGCTTGGAAAGTGTTTTATAAGCACAGTGTGGAGGAACTGGTTGACTGTCTTCAGAGGTAGGTTACGTTTTGGATACAGATTCAGGTGTTACAGAGTATGTTGTGCCACTGACTTTTTTTAATGGGAATTCTCGAAGTAAAAGATTTGGAAAATAAGCAGAGAGAGTTAACATCTTCTAACAAGGGTTAGAAAGGGAGCTGGCAGTAAAAGAGACACTTGAAAAATGTTTAATTTCAAATAGTGGATTCTTTTAATTTATTGATGGAAGTATTTTTCTTATCTGCTATCCTAAGAAGGAAGAGCAAACCCAGTACCATAACTCTGCTGCAGTCCTTAAAGGCAGAATACTCATCTGCTTCTCACACTGCTCTCTGCAACCAACGGAGCCCTTCGGTGTCCCCAAAGCCTGCAGCCCCTGTGCTGCTGAACATGGCACAGAGCCTTCTTTATGTAGGGAGCTTGAACAGAGTTGGTCCTGTGCTTCATTCCAGCTATTCTAGTTGAGAGAAGTGACGTTCCGGGTACTAGCACAGAAATAATGCTTGTGTTTCTAAGTGCTATGTCATAGACTTTGTATGTGTTTGCTCTAAGCAGGATTGGGTGATGATGAAGATGTGCTGATACACTCTCCTACAGCTCTGTTTATACTGTTGAAGCTATTGCAGGGAAACGAGTGAGTTTTATATACTGTCATTAAAAGCAGAGTTCTCCATATTGGCAATAGGAGTTTACCTTTTCTGGAATAGTTTGAAAGCTGTAGATGGGCTTCCAGTGTTGTTCAAAGGCCCTGATTCCAGGTGTGTTTCAGCAGCTTTAAGCTAGAAAAGTGCTGTATTTGGGTGAAGAGAGGCACTGTTTCTGCCTAACCAAGAGTCACAGGAATATCACAGGAATTATGTGTAACTTCCTAAGTTTCTGCTGTGTCTGTATTGTCTTTAATAAGATTTCTATTTCATCTCCCAGCAGAAAAGAGCAAAGAATATCAAGCTTGACAGGATGCTAAGTGGCAGCTTCACTGACAGATAGAGCTGTGAGCCAAACCAGACCTCACACTCACCTCGCTGGTGCTGAGCCAGGTCAGCTCTGCGTGCACTCAGAATTGTGGTAAGGCAGCAGTATGCTGACAGGTGGGGTTATAGCCACAGTCAGAACCCCCAGCAACAAAACCTGCAGGTCCATGTTCCTGTCCTAGTTCCTAGCAGTAGTGCAGTTTCTGTGCTTCGTTGTATAGGGAGCTCTTGTGCTGCCTCTTTCCAGAGCTAGTTTATCCAGTTGTCTCCTCCTTACCCCAGCATTTGAATGAAAATTGATTACTAGACAGAGAAGGACCCAAACAGAAAACTCAGTGCAGCCTCCAGTAGAAACCCTCTCAAAGTGCCACTGAATGAGTTTACTGCAATGCCTGGTGTTAACTATTATGTTGAGGCATTCAGAAAGATCTAAAACTGATTTAAACAAACTTGCACATTTCTATTTACATACTTAAGTACAGGTTCTAAACAAGTATATTCTGTTTCAGTGGGAACTTTTCAGGCTGGTTTTGGTGAAGAATGCTTGGGCACAAAGTTGTGTGCATTTGCTCATACAATATAGCTGGAGTGGGATTTTTAAGCTGGCATCGCTTTGGATTTTATACCATTCTTTCCTCAGTATATCCCCCCACCAGAAAACTTGCTTCTGCTCTTCAGATGACTCATGCAGTGTGTCTGCTTCATTCTTTCATTCCCTACTGCAATGTGAGTACAGAAAAATGAGGCTGGAAATGTCCATGCCAGATTAATTAAGGTACACCAGAAAGTTCTTTTCTAGAGAAAACTTTTCATAAATATGTCTCAGACAAAAGAAAATATAGAATACAAGCTTTGGGTACTACTTGACATTTTCATGACTTAAACAATAGCAGTAACACGGACCATGATCAGATGCAAGGAGAACTAGCACCAGGCTAGTTTTCCACTTGAAGGCAGTGTTTGCAGAGCGCTGTTGCCCAGGACACTGGGTGCTGACCCTGCCTGTTCTCTGCTAAAGGCAGGCTTGCTAATTATTCTAATATTTTTTTTTACTTGCTAGTCAACATCTGCAGGAACAGTAGTTTCATGTTTGTGCCACCATTTCCCCATTCAACATTCAGAATTGTAGCACGTGGATAACCTCTGCTAGAACCATCTATTATTTGGACTATACTGCTATCACGGTTTCACTATTTGATATAAAACCATATTCATGTATTTGCACAAGAGTAATGCATACACTGTAACATGCATTTGTGGAGCCAAGGTAAATGAGAGTTTGAGCAGGGAGTGTAACCTTTGTAATCAGAAGGAAAGGACACGCATGGGGATTTTCTCCTGGGTAAACAGACTGCTTCTGGTATTGTTTCTCTGGCTGGGAGGAAACCCTTGCAACTGTGGGATAAATTCAGTGATCGATGGTAGAATTTAGATTTGTTTGCCTTAGGAGATACTCCTTATCTACAGGAGCCAAAATACCATCAATATTCCAGACTTTACCTGGTAGAGAATATACCACAGCAAGAAACATTTGTCTTCCCAATTGTGACTGTAGGGCACAGAATTGCTGGGAAGAGCCGGATAGTGATGCGTTAATCTTGTCTTCAGCATGGTTAAATGTTACACAGGCTGAATGGCTGTAAATGTCATCCTGTTCCTCTTTGAGCACCTGGTTGGCTGCTGCTGTTCTTACCTGCTGGACGTCTTTCTGTCTGTCTGGATGCTGGGGCAGCGTGCAGAGGATGCACAGGAGTCACCTTTGTAGCATCCTATAGCGTTTCTGCTTTGTAACAGATTCCTTGTATAGCTCTGCATTCCCAGCTGTGGCATTGCTGTCTTTGCAGAGTATCTCACCTATTTCAGTGTTTCTTACGTAACTGTAGAAAGAAAAAACAGCACCCAGAGGGTGGTGAGGCACTGGAACAGGTTGCCCAAGGAGGCTGTGGATGCCCCATCCCTGCAGGCATCCAAGGCCAGGCTGGATGTGGCTCTGGGCAGCCTGGGCTGCTGGTTGGTGACCCTGCACACAGCAGGGGGTTGGAACCAGATGAGCACTGTGGTGCTTTTCAACCCAGGCCATTCTGTGAACAAAACTGATTAGTATTTTATTAATTTGCTGCGTTTAAAACAACAACACAATCTCCATGAGCCTGTATCTGTTGAACAGGAGAACGATGTGGTGTTTTTCCTTGCTCACAGGTGCTGGCTAATCTTGCAACTAGAGCAGCTAGGAGGTGCATGAGATTTGGTTAAAAGGGTTTTGAAATAGCAGTAGGTGTGTGTGTATTTTGTATCTCCTGGCTGAAATGCTCTTGTTCAGTTCTTTAATGCATTTCTTCCCCAGTTGTGTGCTTCTGAATAGGGTGTCCTTTAAATAGTTGCTTTTAACTGCATGTAAAGGTTACCATGCAAACCTTCAAGTGAAAACTTACCAAAACTTTTCATTTAAAAAAAATAATTTACTGGCATCAGTGCTGTTTAATAAAAATGGAAATTGCTTGCACTCGTTGTAGAAAACAGAGGTAAATCTTGAAAGATTTTCTTGTGGAACAGTGCATTATTGTTTTTTATTGATACAGATTTGTCTCTCTTGTTTTTGATAGAAAATGATGCACCCTGTTGCCAGCAGTAATGCAGCATTCTGTGGGACGGGCAAGAGCTCTTGCCTTAACGAAGACAGCGTGAGAGCTGCTGACCAGTTTGACTTGTATGCCACGCAGCAAAGTAAATACAGCCACGCAGTGAGCCACAAACCCATCGCGTGCCAGAGACAAGATGCGCTGAATGAGTCCCACCTGCAGACCACAAGCAGCAGGAATATAGAAACAAAAGATGAACTGAAGAAAAAGAAAAACCTCAACCGATCTGGTAAACGTGGGAGGCCATCAGGGACCACAAAATCAGCAGGGTACCGAACCAGCACGGGTCGACCCCTGGGGACCACCAAAGCAGCTGGATTTAAGACAAGTCCAGGCAGACCCTTGGGCACAACTAAAGCAGCAGGATACAAAGTCAGCCCAGGCAGACCTCCAGGTAGCATTAAAGCTCAATCCCGGTTTGCAAATCTAAGTTATACTTGTGGCAGTGCAGCTTTTCCTTATCCTATGGTGCATAACAGAGGAGTACATGCTGCTGGTGAAACTAGCAGCAAACTCAAGCAGCCTAACGAATGAAAGGAAGGAATTAGTAACTGCTTACTAATCTGCTTTACTCTGGATTTTGGCATGTTTCTTGCATTTTATTGTAGCATTTGCATACGTTTGAATTCTAGATTTTATTTTTACTCAAATAATGCCATAGTCTACGGGTGCAGTTCAGTAACTTTTAAAGCAGTGTCGAGAGGGCACTGGTATAAAGTCTTTTTTGTTGTTGTTGTTTTTAAATCATAATTTAAAAGAAAGTCTGAACTGAAGCATAGGCCGTGGTGTCTACACCTGAGTAATATTCATGTTCCTAGTTTTACGTTCAGTTTTGGGTAAATCTAGTTTTGTGGTTATGCATTAAGTAATTGAACGAAGGAGGACAGAATTAGCTGGCTGTTGGCTCATGATGGGGCCTATCTCACCATAGGGAACTGGTGCAGATGAGTTCATACTTGATAAAGAAAAAGAAACTATTTGGAACTGTTTAACTTAGTTAAAACAGCAACATTCTGAGCTCCTGTGTGTTTCTAAAAGGAATAGAAATCAAGCTACGTTCTTCACTTCTGCAGGAGCTTCTACAGACCTCAGGCAGATCCATAGAAACTTAACAAACAAACCAAAAAAAAAAACAAAAACAAAACACCAACCTTTTTTTTTCAGTGTTGATTTCTGGAGTTGTAGCATTAAGTCAATTTCAATTAATGTTCCAAAAATATTTTTGAGAATATACCAGAAAGCTGAGCGTTGGTGCAGCGCACTGCAGCGTCACGGCGCCTTATTAACACGAGCTGATTTGCCTTTAGGTGATAGCTGCTCTTTTTGTTACGCTGGCACAGGATTCTGCTATGTAATTTAGAAATGCCTAAATATATTTACCAAACCACAGATAATTCTTTACATTTTGAAATATTTTATAAGAAATTAAGTACTGTTCATTCTTGTAACGTACTTGGTTAATATTAAACAGTACGTCCTTAATCTGTAAATAGCTATTTACACTGGTTTTTGCCTTTAAAAATCTGTGCTTAGGTGGCGACAGTTTAATAGCTTTTAAAGTATTAATCTATAATGTTTACAAATTAAACTTTTTAAATAGACACTGCTGCCAAGTTTTCAGGCTTCGTTTTGCCAGATATTCCTGGAAATACAGTTATTGCATTGTTGGACACTTACGCTATATTTAAGTTACGGAACGTTCTCTATCTACCAAAGGACACCATTTTCATGATTTATAAAAGCAAACTGTATAGCTGATGCAAACAGGATGCAGTTTACTGCACTGCTAGACCCCAGAGATGAAGTAATTCATAGGAATTCATCTATGCATGCAAGCTGAAAAAAAATGTTGTTGGTTGACTATAAATACCTTTCTTGACTCAAACTTAAGCCTTCCCTCTTTCCAAAAGAAATGTTCCATTTTTCAGCTGGGTGTGTTTAATTTAAGTGTGAGAGAGCGTATGTATGTGTGTAATGTGCACATACTTTAATCTAGACTTCAAAAAAAAAAAAAAATCAATCCTCAATGTTGCATATTGTTTGTTCTAAATTTATTTTTACTGGAATCTGAGCTTTTTTTTTTTCCACCTGGAAGAAAGTTTCTATTTAAGCAGTTTGAAGCAAAATGTGACTTTATGATAAATTTGTAGGTTTGTGCATCCGGGGAGGGGGTGGATATATAAAGCTTGGCGATCTGGGGAGTAAAAGAAATTGGGTTAATTAGTGCTTTTGCTGGACTGATAACTTTTGTTAACATAAATGCTATTCTGGCCTGCTGACATTTTGATGAGAGCTCTTGATTTCAGTGATGACAACTTAAGAAACAGATGTCATGTTTCATACCTTTTTTATCAGGAAAAAAGCAGCAAGCCTTCAGGTGTTCCAGTGATGCCTAACACATAATGAGCTGGACTTTATGCTGTACTTTACAATAGGTGTGTTGAATTGTTTTTGGGGAACTGTGTATGCACTGGCAACTAAGACAATGAACCTCAACTGTACTGGATGGCTCCTTAGTCGATGTATGAATTAACGGCAGCTAAACTGCTACTAAAAATAGTTTCTTCATGCTGAAGCTATGAAATCCAGTGATACTTTCTGTTCCTCAGCAAACTCACAAGTCTGAAATTTAGCGATTTCTCAGAACGATGTAACTTCTGACACATGCAAAATGCTAACGTGAGTTAATTCACCCTCAGGATCTGTGTTGTATTGGCTGTTTTTAATCAGATGATTTTTCAACAAAAGACTGCTTTAAGTTCTTACCTGAACTCAGCTGGGAAAGCAGTCCTCTTCAGCTGAATGTAATACCTGCAGGAGCGTCACACCTCGCTGGCAAGGAACGTGTTGCATGTCACCACTGTACCTTGGAGAAACTCCACTTACCTCCTCTGTTTATCTGGTTTGCTCCTGTTCCATTTCTCACTCGTGCATCTGCTCGATGGTGCTGTGCTGTGTGTCAGGAGATGATGCAGCTGTATCACTGTTCTGCTAGTATAATGAATTTTAAATGAGTATGCTGATGAAATAATGAAATCATCTAAGCAATTTCTGTTCATTACACTGTTTATTAATTATATCAAATGAAACATAATCCCAGAAGAAAAAAAAAGAAAAAACAAACAACAATTAATGTTGTCAATTGTGAAATGAGGAGCATAAAGTAGAAAAGTGTTTGGAGAGTCTGTAAAGAGCTGCGTGGCACCTGGGATGTAGCAAGGAGACCAGCAGAGTCCTGCTGGGCATTTCCTCATTCTACTTTATTTAGATCTGACTGTAGTCTACTGGCGCCATGCCGTGAGAGGAAGAAAAAGGAAGGAAGACATTTGAAGTGAAAGAGGAATGGAATTTTCAAATACTTCTGCTTTGCCTATGTATAGTCTGCAGAATACATTGTGCTTTAAAAAAAACCCAAACAACCAAACAACACTTTTCTTTCCACGTAAACACTGAAGCAGCATGTTAATGCCTAAACTTTACTAGTACCAGTGGGAAAACTGGACTTTTCCCCCTGTAGTATGAAAACATAACTTGTAAGGTAAATTGCTTATTTTATATTCTATATCATAATTCAGCTATTCATAAGCTAGGATCACTGTTGTGTGTTAACACTGTTCAGAAGATCTACAAGTTTGCTTTTTAATGATTTCTTTTAATTATCAAGTTTCTAACGTCTTATTTATACATGAATGAAATGTACTCACTTGCTATTACTCCTTGATGATGCTATACAAGTTCACTGTTTAATATACATAGAGTAACGACTATTCAGTTTCTGATTAAATTTACTTAAACTTTAAAACCAAATAGTTTTGCTACTATAAAGTCTTGCACTGGACATATTCAAGATGATAGCACCATATTTTGGCAGGAAAAAAACAAAAACAACAGGTACCATCCATCAGAAGAGGCTAACTGTGAAATTTAGTACAGTATTTTTAAAATCAGCTGTTAGCCTTGTTGTTAAAGCAGCACTCTTTATATCTTGGATTTAGTTCAATCAAAATAACTATGTATCAAGAGCCATTAAAGATCTCTGTTTTGAAGGAATATATTTTCACTTCATCTGAAAGATCTGAGAGTTTGGTCGGGACAAAACCAAGCCTTGTCAGTGAAAAGTGATGTGTCTATGAAAAGAATTACTTGGAAGTACAGTACACAGAGTAATTCAGATGTGAATTGAACTCCCTTCCCCCTTTTTGAAGAGCTTTAAAAGGCAGAGTGAAATGAAGTCATTTGTCTGCTGGCTTCGTTAACCGAGCCTCTGCTATTCTTTGTTGTATGTATAATAACACTTCATGCTATCCCTAGAGTTGACAGTTAAAATAATTGATAACAATCATAAATACTTTGACCTGCAGACCTAATTTCTGACCACAAAAGAAGTTTATTCTTCTCTATTTTAATGCATATATTTTAACACTGCTTAAATATATTTATGACTTTAGTAGAGACTAGACTTTTCTCTTTAAGATTTTTTTTTTTTTTTCAGATAGATAAATCTGTATTCTGAAGTTTGGAACCACTTTCTGATACTTTAACCTTTCATCATTTGCTTTTCCACAGGTTTACTTTGGGGAAACAGTAATCTGTTAAATATCTAGTATCAGCACCCTGTCCTCTGCTGTAAAAAGCCTGATTAGATACTGTGTATGTTTTTATGTCCATGAACTTGAGCTACTCGTGTGCAATTATGTGTATGGGAATGGAGTAGTGTTCATGATCTGTATTTACATCATCATATGGATGTATATTTATTAATAAAGTTAATACTTTAAAACCTAACAATTATTTCCTATGTGCTTTTTGTTTTAATATATGTATTTTAAATTCTGGCTTAAAATTCCTATTGCCAACATATCAGACCAATAACTTTAACCTGTCTCTGCTGTAAACAAGAATTGTTTGTTCTCCCAGCGTCTCTGTTGTAGGTAAGTGTGAAACGTTGTGGTGCAACTTGTACAGATGTTGCTTAAAATCAGGTGATCGGTTTTGCTCTCTGTCTCCCTGAAGTGCAGGTGAATCCAACTACAACAGACTGTGTTTGTGCTCTTGTGGACTTAAAAACGCATCAAGAATTTGTGAGAGTTGGAGGACATTCATAAATTACACAGTTCAGGCTTTTTAGCAGCCTTGGAGGTTGCTTTACCACTCACATTTATCACAGGTTACAACTTATTCATATGGACAGACTAGCAGTGTTTGTTTGCCAGCTATGCAAGTTGGACCTTAAAAAAGCTTTACAGTGGTTTGATCTTCCTGATAATGCCATTTGTGTGTCTGATTTGACACCGGGGTGTGCTTTGGAGCTGGACTGGCATCCTAATGCTCTTGTGAAGTACCTGCCCTATTGGAAGAGATCCCATTGAGACAAGCAATATAGTGTGAATTAGCAACATCGTACCTGTGCAGTATGATGGCTCTACAAAGTGTCTTTTTGGACCAAGAGAAATGAAAATTGTTCTTAACAGTTCATCATGTAAAGCTGTAATTCCTACAGATAAGGGGCTGCCTTGCTGACTTGCACTGTGTGCTATTCTTACCAGGCTTCTGTCTGTGGCTCTGTGTATTGCTTAACATGTAAGGGAGAGGTGTGGCCTGACCATACAGGATTGGCAGCCTAAAACTACAGCGCTCTGCAGCTGGCTTGCAACCAGGTTCCCCTCATGGCCTAGCGATGGCAATGTCTCACTTCTTCCCATCAGTGAAAACATGGCAAAAAATATCTGCTTATCTTGCAAGGTTCCTCGAAGGAGTCATTAGCAAACAACTTTTAACTACTTTGAAGCTGCAATGTGTTGTGGAATTGTCAGGTGGTATTTAAATGATCTGAGGCAGATCCTGCCTTTCATGTTGTGTTTTTCATACCGCAAAACCTTGTTCCCAATTAGTGAAAAAATATCACAGTAGCAATTAGTGTGAGTTTGATTATTTAGAGTAGGCCTCTGAGATACGCATAATACTAAAAAGTGTTTTTCTGCTGCTTTATGTGGTCATCTTTGTAAATATTCAGCTCTGGCCATCTTGAGAGAACAGAATGCAAGGTCACACCTCCCAAATGTAGTGTGAAGTGGAGCTGCCTGTGTGACCTCAGTCTCTGTTCTGACTTGAATGCTTATTTTGCTTTCTTCTCGTTGTGCTGTTGAATACACAGAAAATCAGCTGTGAGGATTATGAGTGAATGGAAACGTGAAGACCTTGGCGTTGTCTCTGTTGCACTCAGTTGTCTTTCACTCCTTACACCGCCATGGGATGAGCTTGCTTGCTGTGACTGAAAGCTGTGACTGAAAACCAGCTGCCTTAATACACGGTGCACAAATGACTGACTGGTGTTTTAGTGCTCATCCATGGCTGCAACACAGGACTTGCATTACACAAACAGCTTTTCTAATGTATGACTGATTATTGAATAGATGGCCAGCAGTGTGCGGGGCAGGAGTTGGACTCGGTATTCCTTTGGGGTCTGTTTCGACTCAGGAGATTCTCTCTGTTGGTGTTCTTTCTGCTTTTTGTTTTCCTAAAAGTTTTTTAGACGTTTTTCCTAAAAGCAACCATTTGGCATTTAAAATTTAAAAAAATGTGAGCCACTGAACAGCTGTAGAGGAAACAAAACGGATTTGAAGTGAAGAATGCCACCTGTCTGGCTGCAACTGGGGATGGAGGGCGTTTTCCCCACAGCGTCTTGGACTCCCTGGGTGTGTTTTGTGCTCCATTTCTTCTACCGACTGGACTGCTACCTTCTCTGTGCAAACTTCACTCGTGCTTTGTATCTTTAGCTCACTGTCGCTTCAATATTTATTCTCATACAAATTATACTCGGCGGCGACTGGGTTCGGTGGTCATTTTTAACGGGATAATTCCTCACTGCCCTGCAGCGGTATCGGAGCTCCAGCACCCTTCCCGTCCCTTCGCGTGGGCACCCGACCTCAGCCCTGAGCCGCGCTCTGCCACTGCCGGAGCGCTGCGACCAAACCGCGCCGCCAAAATGGCGGCACGCCGCACTCCCAACGTATGCACGCATGGCACCGGAAGCGGAAGCGCCTGGGCAGTTCCGGCGGAAGTGGCCGTCGTCCGGGGAGACGCAGCGCTGCGGTGGGAATGTGGCGGCGGCTGCTGGTGCTGCTGCTGGCCGCGGTCGGCCGGGCCCTCCCGGAGGGTGAGGCTGGGGCTGGGGTGGGGCCGGGCCGAACCGGGAGGTGGGTGCGGATCCTCCGCCGGGACCGGGGCTGATCTCTTCCTCCTGGCGCAGGGGCGGTGACGGAGCCGGGCGCCGGCGGTTCCGGGCCGATCAGCGGCGAAGCGGTGCGGTACCGGACGGCGGAGATGGCTGACGCGATGCTGGGCAGCGGACCGCCGGGCCAGCCGCCCGTGGTGCTCTCGGCGGTGCCGGGAGAGGCGAGAGAAGGGCGGGAAGCGGAGGCTTGCGAGGCGTCGGCCGGCGGAGGGGAGTGCAGCGCTGGGAGCGGGCCCGGGGCTCCTCCCGCCCCGACCGGAGAGGCCGTCGTGCTGGAGACCGTGCTGCCCGCGGGCGAGGAGCCCAACGGCACTGCCGAGGGCGTGAAGGCCCCCAAGGTGAGCTGCGAGGAGAGGAACGTTACTGGTATCAGCAACTTCACGGTGCAGATCCTGAACGTGTCCCAGGTGAGCGGCCCGCGGCATCGTGCAGCTCTGTGCATATCGGGGGTGGGAAGCGTTGGGTCTGTGTGCATTTTTTGTCTTTCAGTGCTTGACCTGGCGGGTTTCTTTGTGTAATGGGGAAAACTTGAACAAGGGTATTCGTTGCATCATTATGAGTTGGAACAAATGGAACAACAGCTCAGTCCACAAGTGCGTGTGTCTGCACTTGTGGAGAATTGTCAGCCTTAATGCTGTATAGATCCCTATCTCTAGGGTTGTTTGTGGCACTTGTAGCCAATACCAGTTACTGTATCTAGTGTGGCTCTTATAATAGAGATGGTGGTTTTTCTGGAGGGGGGTTGTGTTGTATTTTTCTTCTTTTTTGTAATTGTTTTAAAGTAACCTTTAAAAAGGTTAAACACACTGCCATTTCTTTCAAAAGAGTTAAACAAAGATGTTTCTATTTGATAAGCATAATCAACTGTCTAATTGATAGCCTGGTCTGGTGCTGGGCATCCCTGCCCATGGCAGGGGGGTTAAAATTGATGATCATTGTGGTCCTTTTCAACCCAGGCCATTCTGTGAGATGATTCTATGATTGCTGAGTGATGCATTCCTACGTAGGACAACTTAATTAAACGTTTGCCTGTGTCTGTTACGCTCTCTCTAAGGATCTGATGGAGTTCTTAAACCCAAACAGCAGTGACTGTACATTGGTTCTGTTCTATACGCCATGGTGCCGCTTTTCCGTAAGCCTGGCACCTCATTTCAATTCTTTACCTCGAGCATTTCCCATTCTTCGCTTCCTGGCACTGGATGCATCACAGCACAGCAGGTAATTTACACTTCCTGTGCTCTGGTCTCAGTTTATTTACAGTAGCAAGTTCTGTGTTTTAAAAACAGCAGTGTTTTTTTTAAGGGTTTATTATAAATAGTTGTGTCCGTTTTCTTTTTGACTATAATGTTTTTGTATTTTCTTCCTCTTGACAACTTTACAGGAAGGAAATGCTACTCTGTTAGTAGCATTTCCACTTGGCCTGGAAATTGCGTTCTGTTAGCTGGCTTTTGGGTATCACAATTCTGAGGAGTGCTTAATATTCATTCACTTTATGCATAAGTTGGATAACAAAACTTGGATCCATACAGCACTTGTGTGTATGGAGAAGAAACATCCACTGCTGAATGTCATATAATTAACATAATTGATAAAGCAGTAGTAAGCATCCCTAATACCACAAGAAGTGGCTGCTTATTATTTTCTTATAAAGTGACATTTAGTGAAGCTGACACTTGCTGTGTTGTGGCTGCCTTTCTTCCTTTCTTCAGTGGATTTCTTTCCCTTCATGGCTTGTATGTGCTTTCTGTTCTCCAGCTTATCAACTCGGTTTGGAACTGTAGCTGTACCCAATATCCTCCTTTTCCAAGGTGCTAAACCTATGGCTAGATTTAATCATACAGACAGAACACTGGAAACACTGAAAGACTTCATTTTTAATCAAACAGGTATGTAAAGCAGCACTGAAGTATCAATAGAAAGAACAACTTGGCTTTTAGCTCCATACACAGCTTTGCTCTTATTATTTATTTCTCTTACATTGTTATTTAATGTGAATCTGATGAAAACCCTGAGAGGATTCAGCAGAGATTTGCCGTAGGAACTAAGTTTTGAGGCATGGTGAAACCAGAAACTGACTGGGCTGCTTTTGCAATGTAGATGGAAACAGTGGGGTTTAAGGTAGAAGGGTTGGGCACATCTTCATGCCCAAATCTTTCATTTGGGAGTAAGAGAACCTTGAGAATGTTGCCAGTGACATGCAAGAGTGAGAGCAGTTGGAGAATAAAACAAAAAAAAACCATGCATGGTATATGTGAGCCTTCATAAGAGGCCAGAAATGGTTGTATTTCCAAATACAGCAGAGAAGCTTGAAACACAACCTCACAAACTTACAAAAAATTGTGTGGAAGGACAGAACAATGCTTTTCCTGTTATTAAGCTGTGCATACACCTTCATAGCTTTTCAGTTTTCCATAAGCTAACTATATACTCGACGTATTAAAATCTAAGAACCAGCTCAACAAACACTGAGGTCTGACTGTATGTGTGCCTTAGTTTGAGGAGAGGAACAGAGCTGCAAAGACAGAACTTCTCTGTATTTAATGGTCGTACTGGTGTTGATGAAGGATGTTTTTTTCCAGGTATAGAAGCTAAAAATGATGTGACTGTGACAGAGGAAGACTGGAAGGGGCCTCTGCCCAGTGTTCTGACAAAAGGAGTAGACTGGCTGCTCGTGTTTTCTGTGCTCTTTCTGGCCAGCTTTATCATGTATGCTACCATTCGGACTGAGAGCATTCGGTGGCTGATCCCAGGGCAAGAGCATGAACACCAAGAGTGACTGGAGGTGCTGAAGCAGGGACACAATTTCCTGTGTGTAAAGCAGGTTTCACGTGGAGTGGAAGTACTTAAGAATGAACTGTTGAATTTCTTGGTTGTAATTTATAATGTCGATGGAAAATCAGCTTTATTTACCAACTACTGAGTTTTTATAAAGTGAACTGAGGCAAATAGAGTGGTGAGTAAACTACTATGGAAGAACATGAACTAAGTAAGTGTTTACTAAAGTGCTCTGACCTGTTTGTTTTTCATGGACCTTACTGTAAATGTGTGATACCGTTCTGCTTCACTTTTATGAAGAGATCTCTGAGCTTTGTAAATCTAATACAGCACATTGGCCTGCATATGTTGCAGCACCTGGCTGGAGTGCAAGGTTGCTTCTGTACGGCTGAAATCTGGGAATCTTCTTTTACAAACCTAGAAGTGTATGAGGTGGTGCTTCTACACAGACGCTGTGCTCAACACATTGGAATTAGAATGTGTTTTTGGTTCATGGATTCCTGAAATGAAGAAGTTTTCCAGGGATGCACAGGTGAATGGTGGTGTCACTAAACCAGTTTGTCAGTGAAATAAACTATGAAGAAGAGAGATATGTTTTAAAACCCAGTTCACTTCATTTGAATTATCCTAATATCTGGTAAGGTTTTCTTGTTAACTGTCTGTGTTGGTTTATGCTTCAGGGCAGAGTCATGCCAGCAATTATAAAAATGCAGGTATTTGTTGTACAGCTCCCTACAGGGTGACTGTTTTCCACCTTTGGTGCTGGGGTTAGATATGGGTTGTCTTGCTCCATGTTCTATGAGCCTTGGCTTACTGGAGATGCAGTGCAAATGAGTTCAGAGTGCTTTGCAAGGAGCACATATCCCTGAGAGGTGATCTTTGGGGTTCCTTTTTGTGCTCATACCTCTCCTGTTGGGGAAGGGCAGGTCCTGTATTCCTGTGAGAAGGCTGCAAGGATAAAACTGCTATTGCTGAAGGTCAAGGGAGGAAGTATGTAGTTAATAAGCTTTTGAGCAGTAAGGTGGAGAGCTCTTCTCGTCGTTAAGAGAGGCAGAGGGCTGCGCTCTCCCTGCTCATCACCGCCTTGCCTATCAACAAACACAGACGTCTTCATCTGATGGCTGCCGATCTGTCTGAGGGCGGGGGTCAGGAGGAGGGGGCCGGGCCGCCAGGGGCACAGGGCGCCGAGTGGAGCACGGAGCGTTCTGTACGCACAGAAATAACTTGTTTACGGTGAGGGTTGCAGAGCCGGGCACCCAGCCAGGCGGTGGGCTCTCACCCGGCCATACCCAAACCGAAAGCCTGACCTGCAAACCTCCCCCTCTCCCTCCCTAGGGCTCCCTTTATGCCCGCACCCCGCCCCGCACGGCCGCCCCCGGTCCCTCCCCCGCTCCTCCCGAGGCGGGGCCGGATCGGGGCCATGCCGAGCGGCGGGGCCGCGCTGCGCCGGGCGCTGCTGGGAGCGGGGCGGCGCGGAGCGGGCGGCGGAAGCCGGGCTGCCATGGTGAGACGGGAAGGGGGGCGGGGGCTGCGCTCCTCGGGGCTGCGGGACCGGGAGGCGGGGATGCGATGGGGCGGGGGGCGCGGCCGCCTCGCGTCGGGCGCGGGTGTGCGGGATCTCATTGGTAACGGAGGAATCGCGTTGCGTGTGCGTGATGTTGACGCGTCTGCCCCATAAATGTCAGCTGCGGCGCGCTGGTTCGTTCCGCTGCTGTTTTAGCCCTTCTGCCTGCTGTTAGTTGTCAGCATTGACCCGCGTTGTTCTGCGGCTTCATCCCTGCAGCCCGATCTGTGCTTCTCTAACGGCTGTCTGACAGTTCCTTTTAGCAGTGGCGATATCTGTGTGTACTTGAGCGAAATGGGCGGCTCCGTCCCTACCGCCGCTCACGGAGCGCTGCGGAAGTCGCGTTGTCCGCCCCGGGGGGAGCCGCGCTCCGCTCTGCGCTGCTCGGGCGGACAGCGCCACCTGGCGGCGGCGGCGGGGCGGACGGGGGCTGCGGGCGGACGGGGGCTGCCGTGCTGCCCCAGCGAGTTGAACGAGTCTGTAAGGACTGAAGCAATCTGAACTTTGATCTGTAAAGGACGGAGCTTTCCATCTAAGCATGGAGTTTCAGATCAGTCTGTTCAGATGCAGAGTCAAATTCATCACCTGCTTGCTTTGTGGGTGTTTTTAGGTCTTTTCCAAGCAGCCCGATTTCATCTCTCCTGGGTTTTTCCTAGGAATAACGGGACACACGCTGTGTACAATGCTATTTGCTTCCCTCGTGTATGCCTTTCACAATGCAGCTATTCTCCCCCTCTGCCCTTCAGCCTGTAGTTGGACTTTGAATGTTCTGTGAATAATCTGTTACTTATACAGCAGAGCAGAATAGCTGGAAATTCATTCAAGTGCTAGAAATCTGGATAGCTCAGGTGGAGGTGTGGGTGCAGGTGTGCTGCTGTCTGTGCCCATCCCATGGACCAGCCCATCACTGCACAAAGGCATCTATCCCAGCTTAACTGCCCCTACAGAAGCAGCACTCCTTGGCTGTCCTCAGTGACAGGAGTTAAGCTGGTCGTAGGAATTATAAAAAGGAATGCACCGTACAGTGAATTTTCCACCTCTTGTGTGTGAAGCATTTACCTCTGTGCAATATGTAACTGTGGTTTCATGGTGTGGTTCTCTTGTTGTGCACAAGCAGCTGGGCCTTGCTGGTTGACACGCTCTGCTTTTGCCTCAACAGTCTTCCCAATCCCACTGGCTGACAGCAGAGGAGAGAAACCAAGTTCTGCTGGATCTCAAAGCTTCAGGCTGGTCTGAGTCGGGCGAAAGAGATGCCATCTACAAAGAGTTCAACTTCAAAAATTTCAATCAGGTAATTATTGCTATATCCCATTTTTAATGTAGAGGAAATGTAATTGCTTTCATTGCCATGCAGTCCTGATGGGAAAACATTTGTAGGTGGAACTTTGGGAGTACCTTTGTAGGGCCAAACCCTGGCGGATTTGCCTCAGTGAATTGTTCTCTGACTCCAATCTCATTAGGTGGGGTAAATTAAATCCGTTTTGTAGTTGTTAAGTAGATTTATTCTAATATTGTAATTTCTTGATGACGATAATAGGGCCAAATTCAGGATCGGTATTATGGGATTAGACAAATAATACTGGATCCTGATTTGTTTTTTTTTGTTGTTGTTGTTACTAATGCTCCTAAATTGGTGCTAGAAAAATGTAACTGTTGGAGAGTGGGGTTCAACTGGGGGAGGGGGAAGGAAAGAAAAGGGTAAATATAAGAGCACAAACTTTTGGGAGATGAGGTGGGGAAAGCAGGCCGTGTTTCACCTTCCCAGCTGGAAGCCGGCAGCCGATTCCTTCTTCACTGAATCCTCATCGCTGCCCTTGCAGATCCCAGCAACTTTTTCTTCTGGGCAAAGTCAGAGAGTTACAATGTGTTAATGTTTAATTTGTAGGGATGAGGTGGTTTCCTTACAGAAAACAGCAAAGCATGTGGAGGGGATGGAGGATGCCAAGCCCTGGGTGCTGCTCTCCTTGGCTGCTCTTCAGTCCTGAGGATTAATGTGGGACAGGCAGAGCTGTGGCAGGAGGCACAGGGATGGTCCATGGGAGAGGGCTGACATGAAGGTGTGGGGGCAGGAGGTCCCCTGCAGGTCCTGGAAGGTGGCTGAAATATCCCACAAGTGATTGCAGAGGATGTCTGAGTTACCGGTGAGGGCACGGTGTGCCCTGCTGTTGCAGGGGAAGCATTTGCTGTAATGCAACAAAACAAACTGGTGCACCTCTGCTTCTTGGTGCTTGTATTTCTGATAGCTTCAAATAAATGCCATGTTTATTATGACTTAGGGAACAAAGGACAAAACTGAAGCTATGGACCCGCCTTATGCTTGGGAGAGTCATCCCACAGTGAAAACAAAGAACTTCTAGGTACAAAATCTTCTATTTCAGTTAACACGTTTTCTGTTTGCAGTACTGACAGCCTGAGTGTCTGGTAGTAGTCAGAGCACTGAGAAGTGCCATTTCCACACCAACCTCTCCTTTGCTCTTCTGCAGATGGCACAGAGTCAGGTGTGTTTGTAGGCAGCGGGGCTGACATGAAAGGTACTCCAGATTTACGTTTTGCAGATGATATTGGTATGATTAATGGATTCGTTGCCTCTTTTATTGCTTCTCACAGATAATGTTCGTGATGCATGGAAAGTTCTGTGGCTTTAAAATGGATGCCAGGTTTACAAAGTCTGTATATGTCAACAGATGTTAAGAATATAAACACAACTTTTATTATAAAGTCGTGCAAATGTGTAGACATGAACTTGGTTTATGTATATTATTTTCAGCATGAGGATGAAATGAAACTTCTGTGAAATGAGAGTTATTTGGATTCCTGAAGCTTTCAGGCTGAGATTAGCTTGGTTAAAAGCCATCAGAGCCGAGCTGCCTATTTAACAGCTGACAAGCTAATGACACTTCTGGCTTAGGGAATTACTTTGTGACATGGAACTTGAAACTGCTGGTGCTGTTTGTTAGTCTGAAGATACATTTTCATGGAAATAGGCTTTGGAGATGCAGCTCTCTGAAAGGAGTTGGAAAGCAGCCTGAAGCTGAGGCTGGGAGCTCTGTGATTGCTCTGTGCTGTGGGCACCCACTGCACAGTGCTGAGTCCTGCTGGGTGCCCCTGGTTCTGCTGCCATGGTGCATCCAGGGAGACCTCAGGGCTGGGCTGAGTGCTGGGCTTGGTCCTTCAGCCCCGCCATGCTCCTGTCTCCCATGACTTCCCCCAGCTCCCTCTCTGCTGCTCCTTAGTTCCATGCCCCTTCCCCAGACCCACAGCACCATTGCAGCACTGGGTTTGGCCTCGGGGCTGGGGAGGCAGTGTGCAGCATGGTGGCATTCCTTTGGTCACTGCACCAAGGCAGAAAATGCCACTGGGAGATGGCAGGGATCGGCATGCTTGGTGATGGCCAGGTTCAGTATTTACAGCTGTCCTCTTTTACAGGGTGAGCTTTTAATTGTGTTGGGTTGCTTGTTTGTTTGTTTTTCAGATCTCACATAGGAAGTCTCCATAAGACTTCTCATGTCATTCTGTAAAATGACAGGAAATCAAATGCTCTAAGACTTCTCAATGTGTTTTCTGTTTTGGGGATACAGGACGCAGGTGAGGGATGAGCTGAGTGGAGGTGACAGCACGGAAACGCTTTGGAGGACGATGCATGGGGAGGATGGAAGCACACGTGTTTGACTGCACTGGGGGAGACTTCTCTTATAAGAACTTACATAGAGATGTGCAAAAAACCTAGAGCTGTTCTGTAAGTGCATCTCCTCGATGCTACCTGCATCGCAGGCTTGCTGCTGCTCCCAGCACATTGCTCTGTCCTCCGTGCAGATCAAAGATCGGAACGTTTGCTTTTAGGCAGTGGGTTTCATTGCCTCTTTATGGACATAATCTTTTGGCTGTTTGTCTGAAATACGTCCACGCCTTCTGAGTATTGAAAGCATAATAGCCTTTAACCTACAATCTGCAGAGTTAAAATGAGTTTTATGTAAAATATTCGGTTGTGGGCCACATCTCCAGCTTTTTATATGCCACAGTGGTCTTGTTTTTTTGGTG